TCGCGGCGGCGGCGGCGGCGTTCGCCGCGCCGCCGCCCGATACCATCGGTTTCAACACCCGCGCGGCCGCGCCCGCGAGCTCGTTGACGTCGTCTAGTCTACCCCCGGTCGTGTCCGCGCCCAAGGACGCCGGGGACAACACCGCGAGGCACAGAAGACGCGCGAAGCCGCCGGTATCGGCGACGACGCACCCGATGGCTTTCAAAAACCCGTCGAGATTTTCCTCCTTTCGCTCGAACACGTGCTGCGCGAGGACCATGACCTGCACCGCGAGTTTCACCCTCGCTCGGCGCCAGTCGCGGACCGCGTGCGAGCCCGCGACGACGTCGTCCACGTCATCCTCCTCGGAGAGCAGAGCAGGGACGCCGTTCGCGAGGAAAAACCCCGCGGCGATCAGAGGGTGCCGAAGGTCCCCGCCGTCGTCCCCGGACATCGCGACGTCCGCGAGGCTCGCGACGTCGCGCTCCAACGCCCATCGCGCCCAGTGTAAGACCGCGCGCGTGGACCGCATCCATGCCGTCGCGGCGGCGACGTCCTCGTCGGGCGACTCGGCGACGCGAGCGAGCGCCGCCGGCGTCGGAGGTTCCGCGGTGACGCGGAACGGCCACCCGTCGGACGCTCCCCGCGACGCCGCGCGCATCTCCGCGAGCCACTTGGACGGCGACAGAAAATTCGGCAAACGCTGCACGAGCGCGCTGAACGCCGCCTGGGACTCTAACCTCGCTCTCGTCTCCACGCGCGCGGTGCCGTGGGTGAATATCCACTCCACGAGTGGCGGTAACGTTCCGAAGCTCCCGCCGCGAGCGGTCCCGCCGCTCGGCGGTTCCCGACACAGCGCCGTCGCGTGACGCGCGCACGCGCGCGTCGCCGCGCGCGCGAGCAACGCGCCGGCTTCCTCCGCGCCCGCCCTCGGCGGGTCGCCCTCCGCGAGGCGCAGACTCCGGAGCGTCACCTCTAGAATTTCGAGCGCGTGCGCTTCCATCAACGCCGGGTGTTGTCTCAGCTCGGTGAGACAACGCTGCAGCGCGAAGGACGCGCCGAGCCTCTTCGTCGGCTCCGGGTGCGTCTGAAACGCGTACAGGCGTCGTAAGATGGACTTGACGTTTACCGCGGCGCCGCCGTGCTTGTCCTGCCCGCCGCCGCTCTCCGCGGGGAGGTGTTTCACGCTCCATCGGAGGCACTCCGCGGCGAGCGCGGCGCACAGCTCTCTTCTCGAGGCGGCTAATCCGCCGCCGACGCCGCCCCTGTCGTCCCCTTGACTCGCGGACGACGGACCCGCGAGGCCTCGCGTGACGGCGTCGAGTAACGCGACCGTCTCCGCGGCTTCCCTCGCTTGGTTACGCGTGAACCACCGCACGAGCTGATACGCGAGCGCGGAGAACAGCTGCCGCGTCACCGGCTCGGGGTCCACCGCGAGGTCGATGATCACTGGGAACAGGTTTTTATACACCCTGTGGAACGGCGTCGGTTCTCGCGCGTAATCGCCTCCCTTTGGCGCCGCGCGACGCGCGTTGCGACCGATCATGAGCAACGTCGCCGCGTGTAAAAATTCCGAGGCGGCGACTTTCGTCGGTCGGTCCGCGGACGTCAACGCCAACGACGCCGCGCGCGGGAGCATCGCGTCCAACCACAGCGTCAACCGAACGGTTCGGTTCCCCGGGCCACCGCTGACGACGATGTCGATGGACACGCGCCGCTGCGGGTCCCAGAGCGACGCTTCCCCGCCCGCGGCGTGCTCGCCCGCGAGCGCGTGCGCGGCGCCGCCGACGGCGCCGAGTAACCGGACGACGCGCGCGCTGACGCCTTCGCCGCTTCCTTCGGTGCCCGCCTCTGCGATATCTGCCGCGTGCGCGCGCTTCGCGGCGACGCGACCGGCCCTGTACGCCGCGCCGGCGCCGTCGACGCCGGGGACGTCGCCGTCGAAGTCGCCGCCGCTGACGCCGCCGACGCCGCCCTCCGCGCTCGACGGGGACCGATCCACGTACGGCCGAAGAGCCTTCACTAACGACGGTAAGACGGCGTCGATTTCGGATTTGTCGTCGCCCTGCCGCGAAGTCCAGTCTTCCAACGCGCCGAGCGCGCTCTCGGCTAACGGGGTGTGGTGCAAACCGAGGTGAAGCGCGTCCACCAGCGAGGACGAGAGCTCCCGCGGCGATAACAAACTCGCCGGCGCGGACAGAAGAAGCTGCAGAGCCGCCGCGCGAAGCTCGTCTGTCTGACGCCCCGCGCCGGCTAAGACCTCGCGAAGAAAAACTTTGCACGCCTCGGTCGCGCCGTTCCGCTTGTCCCCGTCGAAAACGTCAGAGTCGTTCGCCGCGCAAAGAGCCGCGCGAGCGATTTTATAAAAACCGGAAAGCAACGGATGCGCGGCGGCGAGCGACGACAAGTGATCCGTCAGAGGCACGATCCATCGCGCGATCGCGCCCGCCGGCGCCGCGGCGATCACCGCGCAGGCGAGGTCTACCAGACACAAGAACGTCTGCATGTCGCCAGGGTTCACCGCGGCGACGCCCTCGCCGAGCTCGAGCGCGAGAGCCTCGGGCGGCATCCCCGTCGCGTCGGCGCCGGCGCCGACGCCGGCGCCGCCGCCGGCGCCGGCTTCCTCCGCGTCCTCCCCCGACGCCGCGCGCGCGGGGACCACGCGAAGCTCGAGAGTGTTACACAACTGCAAGACCTCGTCGATGAACGCGTCGTACGCGACCGCGGCGTGCGCTTCCTCGGTGCTCGGATGCGCGCCTAACGCGCCGGATATCCCTTGAGACGTTTCCGACGGCCCGGAGGACTCGATCGAGAGCGACCGCGTCCTTCGTCGTTCTTTTTTTCCCGCATTGCCTCCGTTCCCGCCGCCGCCGCTCTTGCGACGCTCTCGGACGGACCGATTATCCGGCGTGGGCGCGTGCGGGACCGCGCTACCGTCCCCGCCCAGGACGTGCGTCCACAGACTGACGTACTTTGGCCAAATCGGCTCCGGAGCGGCGTTTAAAAACGCCGAGTCAATCTCATCCGGCGGCGCGACGCGAAGCGTCAACGCGAGTAAAGGCCTCGCGAGCCGCGACCACACCCCGGAAAGCAGCGTCGTGCCCCCGCGCGCGTGCAGCTCCTTAAACAGCTCGTACAGCGCGCCGTGTATCTGCAGCTGCATGCGGTCGCCGGAGACGTGGTAGTGCTCCCAGACCCACCGCGCGACGTCCACGACGACGTCGAGCGCGCTCTCCTGCACCGGCGTTCCCGCCGGCTGAAGCGATATGAGGTCCGTGTACGTCGCGAGCATCACCGCCTGTCGCTCCGTGGCTTCGAACCTCTTGTCGAAGTCGTTCCCGCCGCGCGCGAACGCGTCCGCCATCATCAGCTTCGCGAGTTTCTCCATCATGAGGTCGAGGTCGTTCGCCGCTTGCGACCCGATGGCGACGGCGGCGCGGACGAGCTTGCCCATCGCCCGCACCGCGGTCGTGATCTCCTTGTTCTTCGCGTCGCGAGAGTCGATCACGGCCATGACCTCGCCGGTGAGGCGGCTCAGCGTGGCCTCGCGCTCGGAGACGTCCGCGGACGCGTCGTCGGACAACACGTCGGACAACGCGCGTAAGAACTCGTCCAACGCGGGCACCGCCAGCTGTCGAATCGCCTTGTTCGAAGACGTCCTACATTTGAGCAGCGCGTGGAAGTACTCGGACGCCCTGCTCATGACCCCGGGCGGGGGCGTCAGCGCGTCCGCGTGCCGCGCGAGGAGCGACAGCGCGGCTTGCGTCTTATCGCTTCGCTGCCCCGCGCTCGGGAGCGCGAGGGACGCGAGCACGGCTTCGGAGACGTTCTTTCGCGTGTCGCGATCCAGCGCGGCGTTTGCGGCGCCGCTCGCCGCCGCCGCGCGCGCGTTCCCGTCGTCCTCCTCGCCCTCGTCGTCCTCCTCCTCCTCCGCGGCGGCGGCAGCAGCAGCGAGCGCGGCGAGCGCGGAGCTCACCGCGTCGAGTCCCTCCGCGACGAGAAGGTACGACCCTTCGCTCTGCCCCAGCGTGCTGAGACCGACGCGGAGGAGCCACTCCGGCGTCGGCGCCTTTTTCACGTCCCTCGCCGTCGCCGCCTTCTCCACCTCCGCGGGGTCTCGCTCCACGGACAACGGCCCGGGCTGCGGCAGCGCGTCGTGCAGCGCCGCGATCGCCTCGAGCTCGTTCGCTTTCACCTTGTCCGTGTTCCCTCTTCCTTTTTCGTAATCTTCGCGGAGCAAACACGCGACGTCCCGCGTCTCCGCGCGCGTCAGCGTCGGCAAGCCGAGCTTGAACAACGCGACGAGCGGCACGAGCGACGCGGCTTTGACGCTCTTCTGCGTCCCGAGCTCAGTTCGGAACGTCCGCACGCACGCGCGCTGGATCTCTTTCGCGTACGGCTCCGCGGCCGCGGCGCCTATCCGCGCGACGTACGACGCGATGAGCTCCAGGAGCTTGCATCGTCCCGCGTTCACCTCCGTGGACGGTTTTCCAATCTCGCGCACGAGCTCGAGGTGGTACAGCGCGCCGGGCGGCTCCGCGTCGAGGAACACCGCGGACGCGGCGGGGAGCTCGTCGGAGGCGAGGCAGTCCAAGATCTCGCGGATGTCGTCCACGATGTTCGCGGGTTTGTCGTGGTGCAACGCCGCGCCCTTGGCCTTGCCGTTCAGGCGCTCGAGCAGGTCCTCGATCTCGGTTGATGCCATCTGTGTTCTCCGTCGCGGTGCCTACTTTAGCGTTCGACGGACAGCGCGCGTGAAGTCCTTCATCGTTCGCGCGCGTCGAAGACGTCCTGTGGCTCGGCGCTTGATCTTCGGGGTCTTCGTTCGAATCCCGCGCCTCGTTCGGGAGCGCGCGCGCGTGAACCCTCGGTATCGGGCGCGCGGATCTGGGCGTCGTGGCTCGTCGCATCGATTTTCGTTCTCGAGGCGTTCGAAAGTTTCCCGAGCCGAGGTCGTCGTCGCGTGGATTAGTTAGGTTCTTCGCACACGCCGCCCGCACGGGGGAGAGAGACCGCGCACGATGTTCGCCCGGAGCGCGCGAGCGCTGGGGCAGAGCCTCCGCGCGGCGGCGACGACGACGTCCACGAGCGGATACGCGACGACGACCGCGACGACCGCGGCGTGGCGCCCCGCCGCGGTCGCGTCCGTCGCGCACGAATCCCGCGCGACCGCGATCGGCGCGGCGCGAGGACACCTCGCGAGTCGGTGGAACTCCGCGCCGCGCGCGGGCTCCCAAACCATCCGCCGCGCGTTCGCCGCGGAGGCCGCGGAGGAGGCCGCGAACGAGCCCACCGCGTTGACGCGGGTCCTCGAAACCATCGCGACGATCGCCACCGTCGCCGGGGTCGTCGTCGCCGGGGCGGTCAGCAGCAATTTTTACGCGCAGACGACGAACGAGCTCGACGCGTCGATCAAAGCCGGGACGCACGTCCCTTTCGTCCTCCGAGGCACGCCGCTGGAAGATCCCGTCGACCAGGGATACCACGCGCTCCTGGAGTTTCGTCGCTGGGCGGACGGGCAGAAGCACGTCTACCTCGATCCGATCTCGGACAAACTCCTCCCCGATCACCCGGTAGGGATCCCCTCACTTCCCCGTATCTTCGTTCGTTTTCGTTACATATCATGGTCTACCTCTGCATCACTCATATTACACCGTCCCACCTCTTATCTACCGCGTCGGGCTCCCCACGTCTTATATCGCTCGCGTTATGACTTGACAAACTACTCGGGCATGTGCGTGTCTGATTGTTTTTTTGTGCGGGTGTCTCTACCTTCCGGAGGACGCGGCGTATATCCCGCACACGTTAGTCCTCGACCTGGACGAGACGCTGATACTGTCGCACTTCAGGCGAAGCCGCGGGTGGCGGACGTTCAAACGGCCCGGGGCGTCGGACTTCCTGAAGCACATGGCGCAGTTCTACGAGGTCGTTGTGTACTCGGATCAGCTCTCGACGTACGTGGATCCGATCGTGGAGCGGTTAGACCCGGAGCGGTACGTCGCGGGGAGGTTGTTCCGCGAGGCGAACCGGTTCTCGGACGGGGAGTATCTCCGCGACTTGAGCTGCTTAAACCGCGACATGAACGTCGTGATTTACATCACCGCGCGCCCGAAGACGACGCTGCAGCCGGAGAACACGTTGATCATCAACCCGTACCAACTCGCCGAGGACGGCGGCGTCGCCCAAGACACGACGCTGCTGGATCTCATGCCGTTCCTCGAGAGCATCGTGCGGTTGAACGTTCGCGACGTGCGCGAGGTGATCGCGTCGTATAAGAAAGAGATGGAGACGACGGGGCGGAGCATACCGGAGATATTCCGGTCGAGGCAGGTCGCGTTTCAGCGGGCGCAGAGGGAGAAGAACGCGAAGAACAAGGGGGGGTTCAAACGCGACGGCGGGAGAGGGTGGGGGCGGTGATGCAGTAGTACTGTAGTTCTGATAGCAGCGCGATCGATGAATTCATCGAGAGAGAGCGACTCTTTTCTCGTCTTCTCTGTTCTCTCGCGCGCGGGAGCGTCTCCCGCCCCCCCGGCGACGCCGCCGCGTTTTGTTTTTCGCTGAGACCGACTGTCGCGGTCAAAATTGCTTTCAAATAAGTCGGCACGGGTCGAACGTGTCGCGTTCAAGAAACCGATAAACTCGATCTCTGTGGTGAATTCTGGAGAATTGACGGCGGAGAGTGAGCGAACGGAGAGTCGAACGGAGCGGAGGCGCAGCTCCCAGGCGGCGTTTCGCCGCGCGCGCCGTCCATTGCCGGAGACGCCGCGCAGCGACGCCGGCGAGAACACGCACGCCTCCGAGGAACTTCGGAGAGTCGCGTGACGTCGTCGAAACACACGACATCGCGATAACCGGCTCCGCGGACCGCTCATCGATCCCCGGCGCGTCGCGTTCCCTCGCGTCGACGTCGCGCGGTCGCCGAGCGCTCGCATCGCGTTTTCTCTCGCGCGATGCCGGCATCGTTCGCCGTCCCGGCGATAGGGAAGTACACATGGCACGACGCGTATAACTACGCGAGGGTCAACCCCGGCAACGCGTCCGTGGCGTTGCTCCTCGCGTGGCCGCTGTTCCTCGCGTTCATGGCGCTGATCGTCGTCCTCACCCCGGTGGTCTTCCCCGGGCTCGCGATCGCGTCGTACGTCCTCAAAGCGACGAACGCGCCCGCGATCGAGAAGCCGAAGGCGAAGCCCGCGGCCGCGGGCACGGGCGCGTCCTACGCGGAGATGTACCCGGAGGTCCAACCGAAGGCGGCGCAAGGTGCGTCCGCGCGCGAATTTCCCGTCTCTTTCCGTCGCCGCGACCGCGCGCGTGGACGTCGATCGCGCCCGCGCGTCGCCGCCCCCGCGAAACACGTCATCGTCCGCTCCGCACGTCTTTTTCGAAGATCTCGCGCTGACGTCCCCTTCCCCTCGTCTCGTGTCCTCCCGCAGCCCCCGTGCCGAAGTACAAGAAGTGGGTCGACCCCGTCGAGGCCTCCCCCGCGTTCGACCTGATCAACAAGATCATGAAAGAGCGCATCATGGTCATCGACGGCGCCATGGGCACGGCGGTGCAAAAGTACAAGCTTCAGGAGGAAGACTTCCGCGGCGAACGGTACAAGAACCACACGCACGACCTCAAGGGGAACAACGACATCCTCGTCATCACGCGCCCGGACGTCGTCGAGGAGATCCACTCCAAGTACCTCGCCGCGGGGGCGGACATCATCGAGACGAACACGTTCAACGCGACGATGATCTCCCAGGCAGACTACGAGCTCGACAAGAAGGAGGAGGTTTACCTCATCAACAAGACCGCCGCGCAGCTCGCGAAGAAGTGCTGCGTCGCGTTCACGAAGAAGAACCCGAAGAAGCCCCGCTTCGCGGCCGGCGCGGTCGGGCCCACGAACAAGACGCTTTCCGTGTCGCCGTCCGTGGAGAACCCCGCGTTCCGCGGGTGCACGTACGACGAAATCGTCGAGGCGTACATGGAACAAGTCGAGGCGCTCGTCGAGGGCGGCGTCGACATGCTCCTCGTGGAGACGATCTTCGACACCCTGAACGCGAAGGCGGCGATGTTCGCCATCGACCTGTTCTTCGAGAAGTGGGGCAAGAAGATCCCCGTGTTCGTTTCCGGCACCATCGTCGACAACTCCGGGCGCACGCTGTCCGGCCAGACGAACGAGGCGTTCTGGAACTCCATGTCTCACTCCAAGCCGATCGCGATCGGGCTGAACTGCGCCCTCGGCGCGAAGGACATGGTGCCGTACATCGAGAACCTGAGCAAGGCTGCGGACTGCTGGGTGTTCTGCTACCCCAACGCCGGGCTTCCCAACGCGATGGGCGGGTACGACCAGAAGGGCCCGGAGATGGCGGAGGACTGCCGCGTGTTCCCGGAGATGAACCTCATCAACGCCATCGGCGGGTGCTGCGGCACCACGGACGAGCACATCGGGTGCTTGGCCGAGATGGTGTCGAAGTTCAAGCCCAGAGAGAAGCACGGCGTCAAGGACATCATGCGACTCTCCGGTCTTCAGCCGTTCAACTACGACCCAGATGTCAACGACTACCGGAAGACGTTCATCAACCTCGGCGAGCGGTGCAACGTCGCAGGGTCTTCGATCTTCAAGAAGGCCATCGTCGACGGCAACTACGAGAAGGCGCTCGCCATCGCGCTCAAGCAGGTGGAGAACGGCGCGCACGTGATCGATGTCAACATGGACGACGGTCTCATCGACGGCGAGTCCGCGATGATTCGGTTTGTGAACCTGATGGTGTCCGAGCCGGACGTGTCCAAGGTGCCGTTCATGATCGACTCGTCGAAGTTCCACGTCGTCGAGGCGGGGCTAAAGTGCTCCCAGGGCAAGTGCATCATGAACTCCATCTCCCTCAAGGGTGGCCAAGAGGAGTTCCTGAAGCACGCCAGGACGGTGAAGCGCCACGGCGCCGCCGTCGTCGTGATGGCGTTCGACGAGGAAGGCCAAGCTGCGTCGGAGTCTGAGAAGGTGCGCATCTGTATGCGCGCGTACAAGCTGCTCGTGGAGGAGGTTGGGTTCAACCCGCAGGACATCATTTTCGACCCGAATATCCTCACGATTGGGACCGGGATGGAGGAGCACAACAACTACGCTGTTGATTTCATCAACGCGACGCGCGAGATCAAGCGTCTCTGCCCCGGCTCGAAAATTTCCGGCGGCGTCTCGAACCTCGCGTTCTCCTTCCGCGGGAATGAGCCCGTGCGCCGCGCGTTCCACTCCGCGTTCTTGTACCACGCGTGCAAGGCGGGCATGGACATGGGCATCGTCAACGCCGCGCAGGTCGAAGAGGACGTCTACGAGAAGATCGACAAGGAGCTTCTCAAGTACGTCGAAGATGTCATGTTCAACCGCTCTCCCGACGCGACCGAGAACATGCTCAACTTTGCGGCGACGCTCGACCCGAAGTCTAAGCCGTGCGCGCTGAAGCGCAAGGACGGCTCCGGTGGACCCGCGGCGCCGGCGTTCGTGGCCACCCCCCGCCAGAACGTCTGCACCGTGGACAAGATCGCGCCCAAGCCCGCCTCCGAGCTCATGCCCGTGCCGAAGTACAAGAAGTGGGTCGACCCCGTCGAGTCCTCCCCCGCGTTCGACCTGATCAACAAGATCATGAAAGAGCGCATCATGGTCATCGACGGCGCCATGGGCACGGCGGTGCAAAAGTACAAGCTTCAGGAGGAAGACTTCCGCGGCGAACGGTACAAGAACCACACGCACGACCTCAAGGGGAACAACGACATCCTCGTCATCACGCGCCCGGACGTCGTCGAGGAGATCCACTCCAAGTACCTCGCCGCGGGGGCGGACATCATCGAGACGAACACGTTCAACGCGACGATGATCTCCCAGGCGGACTACGAGCTCGACAAGAAGGAGGAGGTTTACCTCATCAACAAGACCGCCGCGCAGCTCGCGAAGAAATGCTGCGTCGCGTTCACGGAGAAGAATCCCGACAAACCGAGGTTTGCAGCCGGCGCGGTCGGGCCCACGAACAAGACGCTTTCCGTGTCGCCGTCCGTGGAGAACCCCGCGTTCCGCGGGTGCACGTACGACGAAATCGTCGAGGCGTACATGGAACAAGTCGAGGCGCTCGTCGAGGGCGGCGTCGACATGCTCCTCGTGGAGACGATCTTCGACACCCTGAACGCGAAGGCGGCGATGTTCGCCATCGACCTGTTCTTCGAGAAGTGGGGCAAGAAGATCCCCGTGTTCGTTTCCGGCACCATCGTCGACAACTCCGGGCGCACGCTGTCCGGCCAGACGAACGAGGCGTTCTGGAACTCCATGTCTCACTCCAAGCCGATCGCGATCGGGCTGAACTGCGCCCTCGGCGCGAAGGACATGGTGCCGTACATCGAGAACCTGAGCAAGGCTGCGGACTGCTGGGTGTTCTGCTACCCCAACGCCGGGCTTCCCAACGCGATGGGCGGGTACGACCAGAAGGGCCCGGAGATGGCGGAGGACTGCCGCGTGTTCCCGGAGATGAACCTCATCAACGCCATCGGCGGGTGCTGCGGCACCACGGACGAGCACATCGGGTGCTTGGCCGAGATGGTGTCGAAGTTCAAGCCCAGAGAGAAGCACGGCGTCAAGGACCTCATGCGACTCTCCGGCCTCGAGCCGTTCAACTACGACCAGGACGAGAAGAATTGCAGGAAGACGTTCATCAACCTCGGCGAGCGGTGCAACGTCGCAGGGTCTTCGATCTTCAAGAAGGCCATCGTCGACGGCAACTACGAGAAGGCGCTCGCCATCGCGCTCAAGCAGGTGGAGAACGGCGCGCACGTGATCGATGTCAACATGGACGACGGTCTCATCGACGGCGAGTCCGCGATGATTCGGTTTGTGAACCTGATGGTGTCCGAGCCGGACGTGTCCAAGGTGCCGTTCATGATCGACTCGTCGAAGTTCCACGTCGTCGAGGCGGGGCTAAAGTGCTCCCAGGGCAAGTGCATCATGAACTCCATCTCCCTCAAGGGTGGCCAAGAGGAGTTCCTGAAGCACGCCAGGACGGTGAAGCGCCACGGCGCCGCCGTCGTCGTGATGGCGTTCGACGAGGAAGGCCAAGCTGCGACGGAGTCTGAGAAGGTGCGCATCTGCATGCGCGCGTACAAGCTGCTCGTGGAGGAGGTTGGGTTCAACCCGCAGGACATCATTTTCGACCCGAACATCCTCACGATTGGGACCGGGATGGAGGAGCACAACAACTATGGCGTGGACTTCATCAACGCGACGCGCGAGATCAAGCGTCTCTGCCCCGGCTCGAAAATTTCCGGCGGCGTCTCGAATCTCGCGTTCTCCTTCCGCGGGAATGAGCCCGTGCGCCGCGCGTTCCACTCCGCGTTCTTGTACCACGCGTGCAAGGCGGGCATGGACATGGGCATCGTCAACGCCGCGCAGGTCGAAGAGGACGTCTACGAGAAGATCGACAAGGAGCTTCTCGAATACGTCGAGGATGTGCTGCTGAACAAATGCAGCAATGCGACGGAGCGCATGCTCGAGTTCGCGGCGACGCTCGACCCAAAGTCCAAGCCCACGGCGCTTCGTAAGAAGGGCGCGGAGGCTGGCGCCGCCGCCGGCGGCGGCAAGGCGGACGCCAAGGCGTGGAGGAACCAACCCGTCGGCAAGCGCCTGGAGCACGCGCTCGTGAAGGGCATCGACGAGTTTTGCATCGCCGACACGGAGGAGTGCCGCGTCGGCGGCGACTACCCGGGGCCGCTTCAGATCATCGAAGGCCCGCTCATGGACGGCATGAACGTCGTCGGCGACTTGTTCGGCGCCGGGAAAATGTTCCTTCCGCAGGTCATCAAGTCCGCGCGCGTGATGAAGAAGTCTGTCGGTCACCTCATTCCGTTCATGGAGGAGGAGAGGCTCGCGAACGGCGGCACAGGCGAGGCGGCGAACGCGGGCGTGTTCCTCATCGCGACGGTCAAGGGCGACGTCCACGACATCGGCAAGAACATCGTTGCCGTCGTGCTCGGGTGCAACAACTTCAAGGTGATCGACATCGGCGTCATGTGCCCGAAGGATAAGATCATCGCCGCGCTGAAGGATAACAACGCGGACATCTGCGGCCTCTCCGGGCTCATCACCCCGTCCTTGGACGAGATGGTGGACATGGCAAAGGCGATGGAGGCGGAGGGGATGAAAATTCCTCTGCTCATCGGCGGCGCGACGACGAGTAAGATGCACACCGCGGTGAAGCTCGCGCCCAACTACAGCGGCGGCGTCGTGCACGTCCTCGACGCTTCTCGCGCGGTTCCAGTCGCGCAGACGCTGATGGACATGAACAAACGCGGGGAGTTCCTCGAGGACATTCTCGACACGTACGCGGAGATGCGCGAGGAATTCTACGCCGGCTTGGAGGACCGTCGGTACCTCACAATTTCGCAGGCGAGGGCGACCGCGGAGAAGGCGGCGGTGGATTTCTCCTCCCCGGAGCACCTCCCCGTGACCCCGAAGTTCTGCGGCGTGAAAGCGCTCGTGGACGTTCCGATCGCGGACGTGATCGATTACGTCGACTGGAACCCGTTTTTCCAGGTTTGGCAGCTCCGCGGGCGGTATCCGAATCGCGGGTACCCGAAGATTTTTAACGACGAAACCGTCGGCGCGGAGGCGAAGAAACTGTTCGAAGAAGCGAACGCGATGCTGAAGATGATCATGGAGAAGAAGCGCCTGAAACTCAACGGCATCATCGGTTTCTACCCCGCGAACTCCGTCGGGGACGACATCGAGTTGTACGCGGATGAAAACAGAGGCGAAAAGACGCACACGTTCCACACGCTGCGTCAGCAAGCGGAGAAGGACGTGGACGAACCGTACATGGCGCTGAGCGATTTCATCGCGCCGAAAGAGAGTGGCGTGAAGGACTACCTCGGGATGTTCGTCGCGACCGCGGGGATCGGGTTGGACGAACTCACCGCGGAGTACAAAGCCGCGAACGACGACTACTCGTACATCATGGCGGAGGCGCTTGCGGATCGCCTCGCGGAGGCGTTCGCGGAGCTCATGCACGAGCAAGTGCGGAAGGACCACTGGGGGTACGCGAAGGACGAGAAGTTCGACGCGAGCGATCTTCTGAAGGTGAAGTATCAGGGCATCCGCCCCGCGCCCGGGTACCCGTCGCAACCGGATCACACGGAGAAGGCGACGATGTGGGATCTCATGAACGTCAAGGAGGAAATTTCCGTCGAGCTCACGGAATCGTTCGCGATGCTTCCGTCCGCGTCGGTGTCCGGGTTGTACTTCGCGGGGAAGAGCTCGCAGTATTTCAACGTCGGGAAGATCACCGCGGACCAGGTACAGGAGTACGCGGACCGCAAGAAGCAGGATTACAAGGTTGCGGAGAAGTGGCTGTCGCCCATTCTCTCTTACGAGCCGTGATGAGGCGGACGACGATCGATCGCGCGACGGCGGCGGTGCCCCCGGGTTCGGGGTCACGCAGGGACGCTGCCGTCTTTCATTCTTTAATACCACATACACATACGCGTTTTGTTTATGACTCGTCGTCGTCGTTACATCGTCACATCGTCACATCGTTCGCTCAATCTATTCAACGCAACGCTCTTCGACCCGCGCTCGTATCCAGAAAGTCGCTCAGGCGAATCCCGCCGACGATGTTCAGATTCCCCTCCGCGTCGGTCGTCTTGCGAACATCCTCGCTCGCGCGCGAGCCGTCCCTCAGCAAGTGCGCGTAAAAACACGAGCTCCCGAACGGGCAGTGCCCGTCGCCGTAGTCGAAATTACGACACGGTATCTTGTCCATCCGCCGCTTGTACTCGCCGACGATCATCGCCTTGTCGATCTCGTCCCGAGGCCAATACGTCGACGGCACCGTGTAATGCGACTGCGCGCGGCAGATCGGACACTTCCTCGCCTGATCCAACGCGGACGCCGTCGCCGCGTCTTTACCCGCGACGCCGCCATCTCTCCAGTCGCGGATGCACGCGAGGCAAAACGCGTGGTCGCACCCGGAGAGGAGCCCGAACCGTCGGTCGCCGATGCGCGGCTTTTCGTGCACGACCTCGAGGCAGATGCCGCACTCGACCTCCGCGCTCGCCGCCGCTCTGGCTTCGTCCTCGCGCGTCCTGCGCTCCTCCTCCGCGGACGGCGCGCCCCCCGGCGCGTGCGCGGCGAACGCGTCCGGGCGTCGAAGAGGCGGGCCGCCGGGTGGTGGGTGCTGGTACGCGTGGTGCTGCGGCGGCGGCGGCGGCGCGTGAGGGGCGGCCTGGGGACGCGCGGGAGGAGGCGGATTCGTGAGCGCGGGAGCGTCTGAAATTATGATTACAACAATGACGACAACGACGGCTACGTCGGAGAAGGGACCGAACGACGACGACGTCGCGCTCGCCGCGCGCGTCGCCGTCGTGAAAGGAATCAATCGTATAGTTAGACGAGCGGATTAGTATCTTCTTGCCTGGTACTCGTGCGGCTGCGCGGCCTGCAAGTATTGGTCGACCTCTCCGCCGAAAGAGATCCACTGGCCTGCGGTGTGGAAGAGAAAAAAACGCAAGAGATGTCAGCGGACGTCGTCGGTCGACAGAAGGAAAGATAACGGACGGAGCGAGCGTGCGAACGCGACCACCGAGGGACCTACCCGCGTCGTCGTAGTACCCCCACTCGTCATCCGCGCCGCCGCCCCCGCCGCCGTGCTGCTGCGGCGGTTCCGCTCCTAAGCCGTCTAAGAGGTCGTCTTCGTCCGGAAGCTGCGACTTCAAAAACTCAACCTCGTCGCCGCCGCCTTCGTTGAACGAGATCCAGTTCCCTTGCTCGTCTTCGTACCCCCAGTCCTCATCGCCCTCGCCCCCGCCGTCGCCCACGACGGGCTGTTGATGGTGATACCCGGCCCCTCCCCACGCGGGCGCGCTCGGGGGTAACGGCGGCGCGTACAAGCCGCCGCCGACGACGCCGCCGCCGCCGCCGCCGACGACGCCTCCTCCGCCGAGGTGCATCCTGTTCATCGCGCCTTCCAAAGGGTTAAACGCGCTCGCGTTGGGGTTGAAAGACGACGCGCTCGCGCTCATGAATCCCGCTCCGCGACCGGCGCCGCGCGAGGCGGCCTGAGGCGGCGGCCCGGGAGGCGGCGGCGGCGCGCCCGCGGATTCCTGCGCCGAGACGAAAGTTTCGAGAGGAACGGAAAGAATAAATGAGCGTCGAGATCTCGCGCGGCGCGGCGTCGTCGTCGCGAGATCCCCCGCGCGTCGTCGCCCGCCGCGCCGAGATCCTCCCGCTCGGCGCGCAGCGAGGGACGAGGGCGCAGAAACGAGCGAACGCGCGTCTTCGCACCTTCGGCGGGCGGACGTGGTCGTATCGGCACTTGTCCCCGTACGCGCAGTTCCCCGCGAGGTAATACGCGCACACCGTCGACTTGGGCGCGTCCATGCTGTGCGAGAACCGGCACCCGGCGCCGTTGCGGCACGCGCCGTGGAGGTAGTACTTGCATATCTCTTTCGTTCCCATCGCGGCGGTGCTCGCGCGAGGCGCGGAGGGGGAGGTCTTTCCGCCCGGCGCGTCGCGAAGTGCGCACGGGGGGGTGACGTTTGAACGACGACGCGACGACCGCAGAAAACGAAACTCGGGACGCGCGCGCAATCGTCTGAAGTTGGCACACCTAGCACGCCTGCTGTGTGGTTCACTCACTCGCCGCGTCGCCGCGCGGGGTCACACCGCGCGCATGGCCGACAGGCCATCGCGCGGCGTCCGGTTCAAGTCCGGCGGCGTCATCAACCCCTCCGCGGACGGGACGCGCTACGACGCGAGCGGCGGCGGCGAGCGCGCGAACGACGATGCGGCGAGCGCGAGACGACGACCGCCCGCGTGGGCCGCGGGCGCGGTGCCTCGAGCGGCGAGGGCGAACGCGTCCATCGGCGCGAAACTGGGGTCGTCCAACGTCGGGTTTCGAATGCTTCGAGCCGCGGGATGGCGAGAGGGCGAGGGTCTCGGCAAGGAGAAGCAGGGCGCGAAGGAGCCGCTGCGGGTGTGGAAAAAAGGGGATCGTCGCGGCCTCGGCACCGAGAGCGACGTCGGGCACGTCGTCGGCGACCCAGACGCGGAGGGCGGCGCGTCGAAGAGACCGAAGCGAGAGAAGAAGACGAATTCGAAGGCGGCGGGAGGGGAAGGAGACGGCGGCGACGGCGCCGAGCCGCTGCCCCCCGAGGTCGTGACGGCGCGCGTGCGAACGATGGCGAAAGACGCCCAGGACAAAGCTAGGGCGACGGCGTTGATGCGCGCGTTTAAAGAGGAAGAGCCGACCGTGGACGCGAACCCGCTGCTCAGGAAACGGAAGGAGCGCGATAAGCGCGGCGGCGAGGGGGACATGTCCGCGAATAACCCTCTCCGGGGGTTGTTCTGACGTGACGCGTCCGCGGCGCTCCGTCGTCTCTTTCGAGAGACGCGACGCGATGATCATTTCGCGAAGACTAGTCTAGCGACGATAGTCCTATACGTAGATCCTACTGCCAGTCGATCGACGCCTCCCAGTCCACGCTCCCCGTCGGCGGCGTCCAGTCCGGTCGGTCCACCCCCCCCCGAAACGTCATCATCTCCGGCAGCAACCCGGTGTCCATGAGCACCTCGAGCATCTCCCCGCGTAACACCTTGGTCGCGATCTCCGTGCTCCGCGTCTTCAACAGCGCCTCCAACACCCCGTTGCTCAGCACCCCCTTCACCACCCCCGACCGAAACATCGCCTTCGTCAGCTCCGGGCGGTCCAACAGCGCGTCCATGAGGTCGAGGTCGAGCAGCCGCTCTAACAGCCGCCGCTCCACGAGCACCCGAAGCACGTCCGCGCGCTCGAGAAGAACGACGGCGACGCCGCTCTCGATGAGCTTCACGAGGAGCGCGCCGCCGTCCGCGAGGAACCGCCGCGGCAGCCCCGCGGCGAGGAGCGCGGCGACGACGCCCGCGTCCAACGCCATCTCGCCGGTGCTCGCGCCGCGCGCGATCTCGACCGCTCGAGCCGCCGCGGCGGCCGCGTCGGCGGCGACGAGCGGCGCGAGGGATTCAAACGCCGCCTGCGACGCGTTGACGACGGCGAGCGCCTCGGGGGTTATCGCCTCGTCGACGACGCGCATCAGCGACGGCGGCGCGACCGCGCGGATCGCCTCGAACGGGTCGCGGTTCGCCGCGGGGCGGCGGCGCGGGGAGGGCGCGCGAGTGGAGATGGAGGGCGGGGCGCGGGGCGGCGGCGGCGGACGACGCGGGGATATCACCGTGCCGCTCCCCCGGGTGACGCGTCCTCCGCCCTCTCCCATCTCCACGATGCGCGCGACGCTCCCCGCGAGCTTCGCCGCGGGCACGCGGCTGTCCACGTCGCGCATCTCGAGCGTCGCGAGACGCAGCGCGCGCGCGCGAGGGGGCGCGAGCTGGCCTTCGTAGGACGCGTGCGGCGTGATGTCCGCGCGCGCGTCGTAGAGGATGAGTTTCGAGATGAGCACCGCGCCGGGCGCGTGCGCGAAGAGGTCGAACGCGGTTCGAACGCCTCTCCACGTCGTGTTGTCGCTTCGTAAGCCTTTGATGCGGATGGAGTCGATGAGAAGCGGCGGTTTCGGTTTCGGTTTCGGTTTCGGCGTCCGTCCGAGGCGCGTCGTTGGCGTCGCGCGACCGTCCGCGCCGCCGCCGCCGCCGCCGTTTTCACCATCCTTCCCGTTCCACTCGCGGACAACCTTCAGAAGGGGCTCCGCGCGCGCGCGGACGACGAGCTTCGCGACGCGGACGTCGTCGCCTATCTTGAGGCCGCGCAAGACGACGCCGTCGGGGTACAGTCTCAGCGTCCCGACGGAGACGCTCTTCCCGGTGATGTCTTCGAGGACGTTGACGATGGTGCCCTTCGCGGCGACGCCGGGGGCGTTCCCGGTGACCGCGTCCAGGGCAGCGCGCGCGGAACCGCCCGCGAGGACAGCCCGACGCATCAGCCCGAGCGCGGAGAGGAACGCGGGCAGCGACGGCGGCGCGGACGTCGACGCGGACGCGGACGAGGACGCGCGGTCGTCGTTTCGCTTTCGTGACGCGTCGCCGGTCGTGGTGCCATCATCGGACGCGACGACGACAGCCCGTCGCCGCCGCTCGCTTCGCCCGCGCGACATCATCGCGCGCGCCGGCGCGAACGCCGCCGGCGCGAGCATCGCGGAGGACATCTACGTCCGGCTCTCTCGCGCTCGTTCGATTATTCGCCCATCGCGGCCGGCGTCGCGTCGCGGCGGCTTCTCGAGGCGCGGCGCTGACGTCAATGGTGCGGTGCGGTGAGTTTCGGAGCGCGCACGTGGCCACACGCCAACGAACTCACAGCGTGAACCAGATAACGCACAGGCTGTGTCGTCACTCTCGTCTCGCGCGACCGACATGACCGTCGGGATCACGCTCGCCGCCCGTCCATCGCCGCCCGCGACCGTCGCCCCGCGCTGCGCCCGCGCCCGCGACCGCTCGCGCGCGACGCGCGCGGCCGCGACCGCGCGCGCGACCGCTCCGTTAGATCCGTCGCTTCCGTCGTCGTCAGGGTCGATCGCGATCGCGCGCCGCGTCACCGCGCTCGCCGCCGCGGCGACGCTCGCGGCCGCCGCGCCTCCCGCGCTCGCGGTCGGCCCGGTCTCCGTCCCGTTCGAGGACGTGACGTACGCGCGGGTGGAGTGCGCGAGAGGGACGATGAGCAGCGTCGGCGGCGCGGTCAACGTCCGCGCGGGCGTCGCGTGCGTCGAGTTTTCCGCGACGGCGAAGAACCCGTCGAGCAAGGCGTTGAACAACGCGGACGTGTACGGGCGGGTGTACGACGGCAACGGCTCCGCGGTGACGGACGTGAGCGAGAACAACCGGATCGCGTACGTGGACGAGGTGCCCGCGGGGACGTCGAAAGTCACGTTCGCGCTGACGATGCCGGCGACGCAGTACGAAGCCGGCGCGTTAAGTTGGAGCGGGCTGAAGGCGAGCGGTTTCGCGGGTAAGATTCTCCCGGGGCAGACGGGGGGGCTGGGGTTGCTCGGCGAGGACGAGTGCGAGCTCGCGGTGGACCCGGCGGAGTGCGAGAGCGACCGAGCCGCGATGGGCGCGGTGCGATGAGCGCGTTCGCGCGTACGTGCAGTGTTGCGATCGAACGATGAGAATTAGTCTCGTCGTCGTTCATCCGTCCGCGCCGCGCCGGTCCAGCCGCGTCGTCGTCGTCACAGCGATCCTAACAGCTGCTCCGCGATGGACTTCCCCCCCTTCCGCTGCTTCGGCGGCGCCACGGAAAAGTCCAGCCCGCCCGTGCTCGAGAGATCGTTCCCCGCGCCCCCGCCCCACGCGCGCTCGTCCGCGTCGACGAACCCGCCGCCGCCCGAGACGAGAAGCCGGTCGTAGTAGTTGCTCCGTCGCCCTCTCCCCGAGCCGCCGCCTTTACCTTTCCCGCCGCCGCCATTCCCGCCGCCTCCATTCCCGCCGCCCGACGCCTTCTCCTCGCGTCGTCTCTTCTTCCGCCGCCGCAGCTCGAGCTCGTCGTCCGAGTCGTCGCCGTCCGACTTCCGCTCCGACTTCCGCTTCGTGACGATCGGGGCCAAGTCCCCGCCGGCGGCGGACAGCTTGCGGAGCCCCACCTCGCACGCGGCGTCCGCCTCCGCCGTCGTCGCGAAATTCGTGCGGCCCTCCTCGTCGCCGTACGCCTCCCTCGCGCGCGCGTCGTACGCCCGCGCGGCTTCTTCCTGCGTCCGGAACGTGCCGATGAACTCCACCTTTCCCTTCAGACAAAACACCGCCTGATACCGCGGCTGGTTGTTCCCGCGAAGCTTCACGCGCACGCCTTTGAACGGCACGTCTTTGAATTTCACGGGGGCGCGACACCGCCCGCACACGCGCGTCTTGACCGGCAACTCCTGCCCGCACTCCTTACACGACGCCGTCCTTCCCCCGGTCACCTTGAGCTTCATCGCGGCGACTTGCGCGCCCGTCGGCGGCTCGTGCGTCGCCGAGCCCGGGAAGTTTACGTACGCGTCCGGACCGAAGACGATCGTCGCGGCGGCGTCGTACATGCGCGCGGCGAGCTCGGCGGACGGGAACACGCCGAGGAAGACGTTCCGATTGAGCCGCGAGACGTACACGCTCGCGCCGTAGCAGTTCAGACTCTTCTGCGAGACGCCTCGGAACCCGCTCCTGGGATTGTTTTGGTTCGTGGCCGGGTACGACGACGTCGGCTTCCCGCCGGCGGCGCCGTCGGCGTCCTTCGGCCTGGGCGGCGCCGCGTCGATGTCGCGCTTGAGCTGCTCGATCGTGTTTCTGTAGTGGTCGTCCACCTCCGGCGGCGCGCTCGCGTCGACGTCGCCGGCCGCTGCGCTCGGGGACGACGGCGGCGGCGGCGAGCCCGTGTGTTTGAACGTGGGCATCGTGAGAGGGTGGGGGAGGGTCGGAAGAGGACCCGCACCTGCGGGGTGCGGGGCGCTTCTGAGATCTATCGTTGTTGAATTCTCGGAAAAGCAAACAGAAAGCTCGTCATCACTTGTGACCGAGCCGAGCTCGGTCCGTCACAACACCATGCGCCGGCGACGACCATGACGGCTCCCGCGGCGGAGAAGCGCGTCGTCCGCGTCGTAGAGATATGGGACCCGACCGTGAACGCGTGGACGACCGCGAGCTCGACGTCCGGCGGCCGGACGTCCAAGCTCGAGCGCGCGCTCGCGATGGCGGAAGCGCGGGGCGACGACGACCGACTGGAGGACGCGGACGCGATGCTGACGCAGCTCGCGGCCGCGACGCGAGCCGCGATGGATCGCGCCGCGGGTCGCCGCGCGCGAGAGGAGGAGGAGGAGGAGGAGGCGATGCCGACGGTGCCGTACGTCCACGACCGTCACTGCCAGGAAGAGACCGACGACGACGACGACGACGACGACGACGACGACGACGACGACGACGAACGTTCGACGCGCCGTCGCGGATCGCGGACGACGACGAACGAGCTCGCGCTGACGTTCGCGCGGACGATGAGCGCGAGAGGCTGGATCAAAGAGCGCATGGCCGGCCACGCGGCGGACGGCGGCGGCGGCGACGAGCCGCGGCGGTCGCGCGCCAACGCGGAGTCGTTTTACGTCGCCGCGACGAGCTTCGCGCCGACCCTCCCGGACGCGCACCACGCGCGCGCGATGACGGCGATCAAACGCGTCGGGTACGCGCACCCGACGGTCGTCGAGTCGCTGACCGTCGCGTCGGCGTGGTCCCCGCCGAGCATCGCGGAGGCGAAAGGCGAGTGGCGACGGTGCTGGGTCTGCGTCCACGCGCACGCGGCGGCTTCGCTCGCGCGCGTCCACCTCTGCGTGTCGCGGTGCCTGTCGGGAGAATTCGACGCGGTCGCGACGACGTTGCGGGGGATGGGGGTGACGAAGCGGCTGTCGCGCGCGGTGTTCGCGGCCGCGAACTCGCGCGACGCGCGGTTGAGACGCGCGGCGGCGGCGGCGGCGGTGGACGACGAGCGGCCGCCGGCGGGGAAACGCGCGAAGACTTCGGCGGCGTTGACGGATCCCGCGCCCTACGTCGTCGACGGCGTTTTACCGGACGCGTTATTGAAACGGCTGCGCGATGACTGTTTCGGTCCGGCGTCGAAGTTCTGGACGGATCATCGGTACCACGACCCGATGACCGGGTACTTTTCGTATCATTACCCGCTGCCGGACGACGCGGCGGCGACGGCGCGGCGCGGCGACGGCGCGAACGATACCGCCGTCGTCGAAGACGCGATCGACGTCGTTCGAGCGGCGTTGTCGGGAGCCGACGCCGACATCGCCGCGAAGCTCGCGACCGCGACGTCCGCGGAGTGGTGGGCGCACTCCCGATCGCCGCACGAGGGGCACCAGTTGCATTTCGACGCGGACGAGCGTGCGTTACGCCGCGGCGACGGCGCCGGCGAAGTGTCGCATCCGATCGTCAGCGCGATTCTGTTCCTCGAGTCGCCCGCGGACGCGCGCGTCCAGGGCGCCGGCGGCGGCGGCGGCGGGACCGTCGTCGTCGACCAGCGACTCGGCGACGGCGCGCGCGCGGACGGCGGCAGAGCGTGGGTCGCGGAGCCGACGACGAACCGCGTCGTCGCGTTCGACGGGTCGCTCCTACACGGCGTCCTTCCCTCGTCCGAGCCCGCGGAGGACGCCGCGAGCGACCCGGGACATCGGCGACTGACGCTGATGATCGGATTCTGGGGGCCGGAGATGAAGCTCGGGGACGCCGCCGAAGACGAGAGGCAAGGGCCGTGCGTGCGCCCGCCGTGGCGCGCGGCCACGGCGGCGGGCGGAGAGTCGGCGGAGAGGGCCGACGGGAGGTCGTCGCGGTGGTGGGACGCGTTCAAGCGCGCCGAGGGAGAGCGCGGGGCGTGGAGCGACGCCGCGGGGGGGAACGCGCGGTCGTGGTCGCGGCTGCCGTCGGTGTATCCCGCGTGGGAGCGCGTCGGCGCGGGGGGAGACGACGCCGACGCGGCCGCGCCGCCGCCGCCGCCGCCGCCGGGGTTGCGTTTTTTTCTTCAAACGGACTTCGACTTCGAGAACGCGTACGCGCCGTCGCGCGCGGCGGACGCGAAAGACGACGACGACGACGACGGCACGGTATCGTAGGGCTAGCAGAGTAGCGAATAGTTCTGGTGGGAACGAGTCGAGTCTCATCAAATGCACAATCGCTCGCGGCGCTTTTTTTTTCCTTTCAATCGCGCCTCTCGCGGACTCGCATCGTCGCGTCGTCAACGCCTTCTCCGCGCCGGCCGCCACCACCGCCCGCCGTGCCTCAGCGCTAACACGCCGTACGACGCGAGCACGAGCAGCGCAAATATCCCAAACAGCCCGAGCGCGTCGCGCGTGATGAACTTTGGATGTAATCCGAACGTGTTCAAGTACGTCTGCCCCGAGACGTCGACCTCGATCCTCGACCCTTCGAACGTCGTGTCGAACAAAAACGTCTGGTCGCGCATCTCGTTCGAGAGCATCGCTCCCCACGCGTATCGATACACGCTCGCCCACTGGACCCACTGTATCGCGCTCGGAACGGAGCCGATGCTCACGAGGAAGCCGCCGAACATGCTCGAGAGGAGGAGGACGAACGTGCAGACCAAGTTGGCCACCGCGGAGGACGACGTCGCGATCGAGATGAACCCGCACAGCGCCGTCGTCGCGGCGACGAAGAGCTGCAGGACGCCGAAGAACACGAAAAACGCGTCGACGTCGTCCCTGAGGCCCATCATGTAGTACATTATCACCGAGTACACCGTCACCGCGGGGATCCTGAGCGCGGCGATGTCGATCGCGAGGGAAGAGAGAGACGTACGATCCGGAGCCGTGATACCCGCTGCCGATTTCCCTCGAGCGAATCGACGCCTCCGCGCTGAGGCGATCCGCCGCGGAAATGGACGCGAGACCGAAGAACACGAGGGTGAAGAACATTCCTCCAGCGCGGTTCTGGAACCCCGCGAGCGTGAGCGGCGAGTCGAGGTAGATGACGCCGAGCAGAAGCGCCGTGAGCGTCGCCACGAACAGGTGCGCGAGAAGCAGCGAAGGGTCCCGGGACGTCGTCCGCGCGGCTCTCTGGAGTAACACCCAGGACTCGTTCATGCGCGACCGTCGCCTGAGTTTCTCGATGGTCGCCTCCGCCGCCACCGCGGACGACGGCGACGAGAGCGGAGTCGCCTTACGCTTGCCGTCGAGGAGCCGATGCGACTCGACGACGACGACGTCGAGGCCGAGGCCGGACGACGACGCCGCGGACGAAGAAACCGACGACGCGAACGACCCGTTCTCGTTGACGTCGGCGTGTTCTTCCTCGCGGGTCCCCCGCGCCGACGCCCCGAGCGCCGAGGTGGACGCGAGGAGCTTCACGCGCATGGACGCGCACGTCGCGACCTCGAGCATCCACTCGCTGATGTCGACGCTGTACGTCCGCCGCGCGGCGTCGGGCGATGCCTTCCCGCTGCCGTGGTGAAGAATTCTTTTCCGGTCTCGGTCCGCCGCCGCCGCCGACGCGACGTCGCTCGACGGCGTCGACGTGAAGTCTTCGACCGGGCAAGGGAACCCAATCGCGGCGAACTCCGCCTCCGCGACCGCGGGCGCGCCCTGCCACAGCACGACGCCGCCGACGCCGAGGAGCATGATCTTATCCATCACGCGAAACGCCCTCGGCGAAGGCTGGTGCACGCTGAAGACGACGACCCTGCCGAGGTCGCCGTCGCGTCGCGACGGGGACGCCAACGCGCGCAGAGTGAACACCATGCTCGCCGCCGCGCTCGCGTCGAGGCCGCTCGTGGGCTCGTCTAACACGATGATGTCCGGCGACGTGACGAGCTCCATGCCCACGGTGACTCTTCTGCGCTCGCCGCCGCTGACGCCGCCGCCGCCGCCGCCGCCGCCGCCGCCGGCGGATCGCTTCCCGCGCGACCCTCCTTTCGCGTTCGCGCGCTGGAAGAGGCAAGACATCAGCGCGGACCCGCCGCCGCCGCCGCCGCCGCCGCCGCCCGCGCCGCCGACGCGCGAGTTCGCGACGTGCGACAGCGACAGCTCATCGAGCACCGCGTTCGTCTTCGCGGTCTTCTCCTCGCTCGAGATGAACCACGGAAGTCGAAGCTCCGCGGAGTACATCACGCTCTCTCGGACGGTGAGAAACGGCAGCAAATTGTCGTGTTGCGGCACGAACGCGACCGCGCGGCGCAACTCGCGCGGCGTCCTCACGACGCCGTCCACGCGCACGTCCCCCGACGATACCTTCAACCCAGCCTCGGGGTCAACGCGCCCGGAGATGATTCGCAGGAGCGTGCTCTTCCCGGCGCCAGAGGGGCCTAAGAGCGCGAGCATCTCGCCGCGGCGACACGCGCCGGCGACATCGCGCAGAAGGACTTTCGGCGCCGCGCGCGTCTCCCCGGCGGCCGTATGGGCAATTACCCTCGACCCTCGACCCTCAGCCGGCATCGCGGCGTCGGCGTCGGCGTCGGCATCGGCGTCGCGCGCGGCGGAAACGGACTTGATCTTCGTCTCGCAGGTGATGCTCGCGAACGCGAGGCTTCGGCTTCTCGCGCGCGTCCGCGTCCGCGTCTCCGCCTCGTCCCCGACGACGCCGCGGGCCGCGAGCGCGGCTTTGGCGGCGACGTATTTCGCGAGGCACCGGGCGCGGCGCTTCGCGCGCGCGACGTACGCGGCCGCGCACGCGGCGGCGAGCGCGGCGAGGACGACGGGCGCGGCGATGGCGGACGCGAGCAGCGCGTTCTCGTCGTCGTCGTCGTCGTCGTGGTCATCTCGGTCGTCGACGACGTCGACGACCGCGACGTCGGGCGGGGCGAGCGCGAGCTCGAGACCGCCAGCCGCTCGGTAGGGTAACCGCGACGCGTCGGAAGCCGTGGGTCCGGGCGCGAGCGTCGGCGTCGGCGTCGTCGTCGTCGCGTCCGCGGAAGGATCAGGGTCGGGTTCGGGCTGCGTCCCTACCGCGTCGTTGGCGTCTTCTAAGCACGCGGGCGTCTCTCGGCAGTTGGCGACGCGGAGTAACCCCGCGACGGTCACGCCCGCGCGCGAGCTCAGCGTCGCCAGGTTCGCGAGCGCGCACGCCTCGAACGGGACCGCGTCCGGGCCGACGATCGCGTACCCCGCGTCGAGGAGGCGCCGCCCGAAGTCGCACAGGCACGACTCGCAGACGTCGGCCCTCCCCGCCGCGCAGCTCTCACCGAGCGAGGCGTCGAGCGATACGACGTCTATGTCCACGGGGCAGGCGGCGTCGCCTCCTCCGAACTGCGCGCGCGCGGGCGCGGGCGCGACGAGGACGAGCGCGACGACGCCGACGCCGAGGAAAAGACGGAGAAGCCGGAGAGGCTGCATGACGATACGCGACCTGCGGCGTTGGCGCGTCGCGGCGCGCGCGGCGCGTTGTGCGCGCGAGCTCGCGCGGAGGGTGGGTCTCGGTCTCTTCTCTTTCTCGCGCGGTCCGACGAAAAAAAAAACCAAACGACGCGACGGCGGCCTCGACCTCGGTAGTGACGACGTCCACGCCGTCACACACGGGCGGCGCGGGGCGATGCCGCCGCCGCCGGCGCCGCCGCACTGGATGCGCGCGCGCGTCGACCGCGCGCCGCCGAAGCGAACGTCGAAGCCGCCCGCGGACCCTCACCAGCGCATCGCGGACGTCGTCAAGCTGCTGTGCGAGGCGGCTTCGGGCGGTCCAGCAGAATCGGACGACGACCTCCTCGTCGCGCTGAAACGCGCGGTCAGGCGCGACGACGACGCGATGCGACGCGCGCACGCGTCGCTGATGCTCGCGCTGAAGCACAAGGAGTGCTCGCATCGGACGCGCGCGGTGACCATCATCGACGCGCTCTTCGTCCGGTCGCACCTGTTCCGATGCCTCGCCGTGGACGACCTGTCGTCGTTCCTTCGACACGCGATCGGCGTCGACAACACCGACGCGAAGCCGCTGCCGCCATGGCCCGTCGCGGAGACGGAGAAGCTCCGCGAGATCTCCGCGAAGGCGCTGGACGCGTGGACGACGCGCTTCGCGAGCGCGCACCCGCGGCTGGTCGTCGCGAGCGCGTTCGCGCGCGACGCCCTCGGCGCCGACGCTCCGGACGCCGTCGCGGCGGCGCGACGCGCCGTCGCCGACGAGAGAGCGCGGCGGACGGAGGAAGGCGTCCTCAAGCGATGGCGCGCGTTCGAGCGGGAGGAGCTCCCGGAGCTGAGACGGGACGTCGGCGAGTGCGTCGTCGCCATCGACGCGTGCGTCGGCATGCTGTTGGGCGCGGAAGGGGGGACGGGCGGGGGAAGCGAGGAGGAGGACGACGACGACGACGAGGACTGGGAAGACGTCGAGGGCGCTCCCTGCCCCGCGGCGACGACCGCGAAGCGAGAGCCCGCGCCGCCCGCGATCGTCGCGGCCGTCCCGACCATCGCGTCGTCGTCTCACCACTCGACGTCGTCGATTCAGATCACGGAGACGGAAGACAACGCGGTCGTGATGCGCGAGTTGATCGCTCTGTGTCGCGCGGGCGCGTCGCGGCTCGCGCCGTCGTTATCCGCCGCGCTCGCGTTGCTCGCGCGGGTGAAGCCGTCCACGGCGGCGGCAGCGCGCGCCTCCGGGACCAGAACCGGGACCGGAATCGACGCGGAGGAGGGCATCGCGAGCGAGGAGAGGGCGAGCTGGGTGAACACGCTCGCGGCGGCGAAGCGGAAGCTGACGCGCGCGCTCGCTCGATGCGCGGCGCTGGGCGTCCCGGGGGCGGCGGACGCGTCGAGGGACGATCTCGGAGATGTGAACCGTCGCGAGATGCGAACGGACGCCGCGGACGACGACGCCGAGGGCGAGGACGAGGACGAGGACGAGGACGAGGAAGGGAGCGTGACGATACGCGTCCCGAGGCTGCCGGAGGCGAGCGACGGGGTGCCCGTCGGCGGCGCCGGCGGCGGGAAGGACGGCGACGACGACGTTCTCGACGCGCTCCTCGCGAGGGTCGCGGCGAGACGGAAGAAATACGCCGGGAGGGGGAAGGGGGGAGGTCACGGAGGTGGTGCCGCGGGCGCGAACGCGAACGCGAACGCGAACGGCGGCGGCGGTGGACGCGGAGGCGCGGGGGGCGCGGGGGGCGCGAATTCTGTGAAGAACCGCGCGAAGAAGATGCTCGCGGCGACGATGGCGAAGCACAACGCGGACGTTCTCGCGGAGCTCGGCGCCGCGGGTCAGGACAGGCGCGAGTTCGTCTCCGGCGCCGCGGGAGTGTACGCGCGGAGGAGGGCGGAGGAAGCGAGCGAGGCCGCGGCGATCGCGTTGGCGCGAGAGGAAGCGAAGGAGGCGAAGAGAAGACGCGAGGCGCCGACGCCGAAGCAGCGGATCGAGGCGAGACTCAAGGAGTTGAAGCGGCGGCGGCGGTGACGCGAGCGCAGACACAAATAGCACCCAGCGGGTACGTACGTGTACAACATGAGGGGAAAATAAAATACTACGCGTGCGGCTATCGCAACATGTTCACGAACACGGCGGTGACCGCAGCGCGCTCGCGCTGGTCCGCGGCTTCAAACGGCGGCGCCGCCGCCGCGACGCCGCCGACGCCCTCCTCCGCGGCGTTCCGCGCGTCCTCGAACGCGGCCGCCGTCGCCGTCGCAGCACTCGAGTCCGCCGGTCTCGACGCCGTCTTGGACAGTCTCATGAGCGCGTACGTCGCGCCCGCGGTCACCGCGACCGCGGCGCCTATTTTCACCGCGCGAGGCGACGTTCTCCACGCGCGAACCGCGGAGGAGAGAAACGCGCGCGCGCGCGACGACGCGGCGACGTTCGCGTCCGCGTCCGCGGCGGTCGCGGTCGTCGCGTCGTCGTCGCGCTCGAGCGCGCGCGGCGATGCGCACGGCGCGTCGCGAACGAAGGACGAGTCCGCGACGTCTCCGTTCTCCTCCATCTCCAACTCCACTCGCTCCTCCTCCGCCTCGCCCTCCGCCCGCTCCGTCGCTTCGTCGGAAGAACCGGAGGCGGCTTCGTCCTCGTCCTCTTCCGTCGCCTCCGCGCTCCAATCCGACGCGTCCTCGGTCTCCATCGTGACCAAGGTCTCGTCCCCGGGAGCGGACGCCGCCGCTGCCGCGGCGGCAGCGCCGCCGTCGGACGCGTTCGGTTCCAGGCCCCAGTACGTCAGCTTCTCCTCGACGTCCGCGATCTTCCGTCGCGCGGCTTGGAGCTCGAAGAGCAGTCGCTTGTTCTCCGCGCGCGCGTCCGCGAGTTCGCTCGATTCCCTCGCGCGTCGCTCGATCCGCGCGACCTCCTTCTCCACGCTCACCGGCGTCGACGCGTCGTCGCTCGAATCCTCCTCGTCCGCGCTCTCGCTCTCGCCCGCGCTCTCGCTCTCGTCAGCGCGAGGGCGACGCGACACGGACGCGGACGCGTCGCCGTCGCCGTCGCCGGCGCTGTGAAACGTTTCCGGCGTCGGCGGCGCGTCCGCCGCCGCCGCCTCCGACGACGACATCGCGGCGCACTTCTTCAACCTCGCGCGCAGCTTCGCGTTCTCGTCCTCCACGCGCGTGAGCGCTTCCGTGAGCTTCTCCGTCACCGATTTGATCGTCGCGAAGTTCGCGGGAGACGCCGGCGAGCCGCCCGGGGAAGCCAACCCGACCGCTTTGAGGGAATCGTTCGCGAGGCCGTAGAACGCGTCGAAGAACCCGCCGTCGCCGTCGTGCTGCTGCTTCCTCAGCTTCGCTTCCAGTCCCGCGATGTACTTTTTCAGTCGCTCCGTCTCCGCGCGAGCGGCCGCGACGTCGGCGTCGGGCGTCCGCGGCGTGCCGAGAGGAAGCGTCGGGGGATCCACGCCGGGGGATCCGCCGACGGGTGGGGTCTCGGAAGATGATGTCGCGTCCGCCGACGGTGTCGACGGCGACGCCGGCGCCGCGTCGTCCATCTTTTTCGACGACGCCGGCGGCGAGAGCGACGTCGCGTCCACCGCCTTCAGTTGCTCGAAGACGGGCGAGAGCATCATCGTCCCGTCCGCGGGCGTCGTGCGCGCGCGGGGGAAGAGTGCCGTGTCGGATGTTCCAACGTTTTTTTTTCTTCAACGGTCTGGTCGTCGCGCTCGGCACCCTCCTGCAGTGACCGCGCCGCGCGGGGGGAAATCCCGTCGCGTCGCGTCGTCGTCGGCAGTCGCGACCGCACGCGCGCGGTCGCCGACCCGACCCCCTCCGGAGACGATGATACCCGTGAACATCATCACCGGCGCGCTCGGCGTCGGGAAGACGACGGCGTTGCGCCACCTCCTCTCCCAGCGCCCGCCGAACGAGCGCTGGGCGATCGTCGTCAACGAGTTCGGCGCGCTCGGGATCGACGGCGCGATCCTCGACACCGCGGGCGGGATGACGCGCCGGCCGGGGCCGCGCGCCGGCGGCGGCGGCGACGACGGCGGCGCTTCGGAACCCGTCGCCGCCGCCGCCGACGACGACGACGACGACGACGGCATGGTCGTCGTCCGCGAGGTCGCGGGCGGGTGTCTCTGCTGCGCGGTCGCCGCGCCGTTCACGGTCGCGGTGACGCAGGTGCTGCGACGCGCGAGGCCCGATCGGCTGTTTATCGAGCCGAGCGGGATGGGCCACCCGGGCGGGCTCTTCGACGCGCTGTCCAACGAGCACCTCCGCGGCGTCCTCGCCCTCCGCGCGACGATCGCGCTCGTGGACGTCCGCGAGGTGGCGACGCGCGGGGAGGTGTTCCGAAGCGACGCGTTCGTGGACCAGGTCCAGTGCGCGGACGTCGTCGTCGGCGCCAAGGTGCGTTCGATACACTGGTCCCCATACGACCGCGTCGGCGTGGTGAACGCCGATCCTTAAGGACTTTTGCCGTCGTCTCTCTCCGCCCACCCCACGCTTTCAATTCCCGTCCTCGGCGCCTTTCAACTCCAACTGACGCCTTTCAACTCCACCCCGACGTTCGCTCGTATGGAACGACCCTAAGGCGGACCTGGCGTCGGCGAATGACGCTGACGATTTTCGCGAGTGGGCGCGCTCGCTGTACCCGCCGAAAGCGCGCGTGCTCGTGGTCGAGCACGGGAAGTTGGAGATGGAGACGCTGGACGTGGACGTGGGGGTGGTGATGTGTCCGAGCGCGGACTCGGAACCGAGGGAGAAGAGCGCGCACGCGGCGGCGGCTAGGGGGATCAGAACGTCGTCGTCGGCGCCGCCGCCGACGCCGCCGCCGCCGCCGACGCGCGGCGCGCCGACGCGCGTGCGCGGCGGCGACGACGGCCACGCGACCTGCGGCTGGGTGTTCCACCGCGACGACGTCTTCGCGCGCCCGCTCCTCGCGCGTCTCTTGACAGCGCTCGCGAACGAGCCCGCGGTGAAGCGCGTTAAGGGCGTCCTGCGGCTGGGATCGGAGTGGGTCGCGCCGGCGGTAGCCGTCGGCGGCGACGGGAGGACGCGCGTCGCGCTGGAGCCCGCGGCGTACCGGCGCGATAGCAGGATCGAGATCATCGCGACGAACGTCGCGGCGAGAGGGGAAATTATTAAAGGGGAAGGAGAGGACGATCGCGTCGTCGACGGGGACGTCGTCGACCGCGCGGGAGAGGCGGCGAGGGCCAACGACTGGGACGCCGTCGAGTCGGCCATCGTCGCGACGTTGAAACCTCCGAAGTGACGCGCCGCCGGCGCCGGTAGCTACTCGATGCTAGCTAGTACCTTCAACACGATAGACTAGTAGGAACGGAGGACTACGGCGTGTTCGCTCTTCTGCTCGCGCGTCACGTCGACATTCGCCGCGACGCCATCCACAGCAACGACGCGAGGAGGCTGAGAAGCGACGCGGCGGCGGCGGCGAGGAAAAACTTCTCCGCCGCGTCGAACCGCGGACGCGTCGTCGTCGTCGTCGTCGTCGTCGCGACGTCGCCGCTGACGCTCTCCGTCTCCGCGGCGGCGGCGGCGTCCACCCTCTTCGCCGCTCCCTTCGCGCGCGACCGTAACGTCGTCGCGCTCGCGCCTTTCCCACCCCCCGCGGCGCACCCGCCGGGTTTCCCTAAATCCTCGATGTCCCCACCCCCCGCCGCCGCCGCGCCGCCGCCGTCCGGTCCGTTCTTCAACGCCAACTGCCCGCACGCGCCGGCGATGTCTTGCCCCATCTCGTGCCTCACCGTCGTGAACTGCCCAAACTCCGGTCCGGTGAGGACGTCCACCATCGCCTTCACCGCCTCCTTCGTCGGCGGCGCGTGCCCCATCGGCACGTCCGTGGGGTTGTACGGAATGAAATTCACGATGACGTCCCGCCCTCGCAACAGCTCCCCGAGCTCCCTCGCGTGCTCCACCCCGTCGTTCACGCCTCTCAACACGCAATACTCCACCATCGTCTTCACCTTCGGCCCAGACGCGAGGTACTTGTCCATCGCCTCCATCAGCGCCGGGAGCTTATACGCGCGCGCGGTCGGCACGATGCTCTCGCGCAGCGCTTGGTTCGGCGCGTGGAGCGACAGCGCGAGCGCCACCCCGGGCGCGTCCCTCGTGAGCGTCTTCATGCGCGGCACGACGCCCACGGTGGAGACGGTGACGCGGCTCGGCGCGAGCGCGAAGAGCTTCGGGTCCGTGATCGGGCCGAGCGCGGCGATGACCGCGTCGTAGTTGTTCAGCGGCTCGCCCATGCCCATGAAGACGAGGTTCGTGATGCCGCCGCCGCGGCGGCGGCCGCTGACTCTCCGGGACGCGCCGCCGCCGTCGCCGTCGCCGCCGTCGCCGTCGCCGTCGCCGCGGAAGAGCCGCTGCGCGTGCACGAGCTGCTCGAGAATCTCCCCGCACGTCAGGTTCCCGAGCTCCCCGAGCGTCCCGGTCGCGCAGAACGTGCACCCCATCTTGCAGCCGACCTGCGAGGACACGCAGAGGGTGTTGCGCTCTCGCCCGCCCTCGTGGATCGCGTGCCGCATCACGACCGCCTCGACCCTGTGGCCGTCTTGCAGCTCGACGACCATCTTCGTCGTGCTGCCGTCCTTGCTCGTGTGGCACTCCGCGACCGTCGTCGTCATGAGCGCGAACGCGTCGTTCACGCCCTCGACCGCGAACTTCGGGACTTCCGTCTTGCGATGGGCGAGCGCGACGGCGTCGCGCTCGCTCTCGGCGGCGTCGATCGCGGCGCTCAAGATCGCGCGGCAGTGCTTCGGCGCGAGGTCCGCCTTGCTCGCGGGGAGGCCGTCTCTCAGGTACTTCAGGAGCGCGGGCTTATCCAGGATGGACTGCCGCTCGAGGCGCCGGGCGGGCGCCATGACGTCGCTCGCGCTCGCGTCGCGCGCGCCGACGGGTCTGGCGTCGTGCCGCCGCTCCGCCGCTTTTTCGCCGCGGTCGGCGGCGGTCGGCGCGGCGTTCTGTTTGTCAGGTTGTCGAGGTCGTTGCGTCGTCAGCACGCGGCGCGTTCAGTGCGCCGCGCGCGGCGGGTTCGAGGCAGGCGCCGAGCCGAACCGGGTTTCCTTCTCGGAGGAACGCGTGGGCGTCCGCGGCATCGGGAGCGCGCGTCGCGGCGGCGTGAACCCGCCGCGTATCCGAGCGCGAGTGCCGGCGCGAGATCGAGAAGAGCCGGAGAGGGATTCGGTTCGCGAAGGTAAAATTCTTCCAACGATGGCGGAGGCGGCTATCCTCGAGCAATGCCGCCTGCACCCGCAGGGCATCCCAGACGCGGACCTCGCGATGGAGATCGCGCACATCCCCGTGAACGAGCGCGCGTCCGCGATCAACGCGTTGCTGTCGTCGAGGAAGATCCAAGTCTACAAAGACGGCGACTCGCTGATTTACCGCGAAGTGCAAAAAGACGAAGCCGTGAAGTTCAAAGGCCTCTCCTCCGAGGACTTGCTCGTGTATCAGATCATCCAGAGCAGCGGGAACACCGGGATTTGGACGAAGGAGCTCAAGCAGAAGAGCAACCTGCCGCAGACGCAGATCACGAAGATCTTCAAGGTTTTAGAGGCGAGGAAGTTGATCAAGTCGGTGAAGAACGTCGCGCAGCAAAACCGAAAGGTTTACATGCTCTTCGAGCTCGAACCTTCGCGGGAGATAACCGGCGGGGCGTGGTACACCGAGCACGAGTACGACGCGGAGTTCATCTCCGTGCTTCGCGAGCAGTGCGATAAGTTCATCAACAGCCGAGGGAAGGCGACGTTGGACGACGTGTGGGACTTTGTGAAACGCGCGAAACTGTCCAACGTCGACTTGGGGAAAGAAGAGGTGCTTCAGATCGTAAACACGCTCGTGTACGACGGTAAGATTGACGCGATCGAGGTGCCGGACCCGAACTTTAAGCCCACGGCGAAGAAAGGGAAGGACATCGACGCCGGGCACGAGGGCGAGGACGTGGACTACATGCCGGGGGCGTTCATCACGGAGTACTCCCCGGCGGCGATTCCGATTCCGTCGGAGAGCGCGCTCACGAACGTGCCGTGCGGTCTGTGCCCGGTGTTCGAGGAGTGCGTCCCGGGGGGGTTGATATCCCCGGAGACGTGCGAGTACATGGACGCGTGGCTCGCGCAAGACGATCCATGATGAGTGGATGATACTGTAGTAGTTTTAGAGCGATCGAAATGTGATATCATACGAGGTCGAGTAGTTATGGATGATTTCTTTTCGTTTAGTCGTTCCACGCCGGGTCCGCCACGCCGGGCGGCAGCCTCCCCCTCTCGATCGACCTGTGACTCCCGAGCGCCCGCCACGCTAACACGAGAAACGCGAGCGAGTGCAGGCTCAAGACGTAGAGGATCACCGCGGACCTCCATCCGCCGCTGTGCCGCAGGTGCCGCCCGGCTCGGCGCCCGAGGACGTCGACCCTCCCCGCGACGTTCTTCACCCGCGCGCGCAGCCCACCGCCGAAGACGCGACCGGGGGTGTCTTTCCCGTAGAACCCGACCCCGTCTCCGCCGCTGTTACCGCCGCCGCCCCTGCGTTTTAACCCCGCGCCGATGCCATGCGCGCCTCCTCTCCCGCCGCCGCCGTCGCCGCCGCCGCCGCCGCCGCGGTTCTGCAGCCGCCGTCGCTCCACGAGCGCGTCGGCGAGTTTCTTCTCCAAACGCAATTTTTCACCCTCCGTCGTCGCGCGCTTCGCTCGCTTCCCCGCGAGCTGCGACTCCAACTCCCTGAGCCGGTTCTCCATCTCTTGGACGCGCGCGCTGGCGTCCGCGGGCGCGCGAATTCGCGCGGCGTCCGCGGCGGCGGCGTCTCGCGCGAGCGCGGACGCGACGCGCTCTTCCTCGGCGACGCGCGCGGTCAACGCCTCCAGTCGACGCGCCGCGTCGGCGGCGGCGTCGGCGTCGGCTGCGCGCGCCGTCTCCGCGTCGTCGTCGTCCCGGCCCGTCTCCGCGGCGACTCGTTTCTCCGCCTCCTCCTCCGCGGCGGCCTCGTCCGCCAAGGCGCGTCGCTCCGCGGTCTCGGCTTCGACCTCCAGTCGCGGCTCGTCGTCCGCGAGCGCCGCCGCTCGCTCTGCCAATCGCCTCGCCTCCGTCTCCTTCTCGATCGCCGCGGTGCGCGTCGCGGTCACCATCGCGTCGTACTGCGCCGCGTCCGACGACAGCGCGTCCTCGCGGTATTTCCCTTGCGACGTCGCCGCGGTCGTCGCCGCGCGCTCCGCGTCGATCGCGCGCTCTAACGCGCGGAGCTCTTCTCTCGCGTCCGTCGCCTCTCGGGCGAACATCTCGCGCTCGTCCGCGGCATCCTTCGCCGCGGCGGACGCGACGCGCTCCTCCTCGTCCCGCGCCTTCTCGCTCGCGCGCAGGTCGTTCAGGACGGCGTCGAGCTCCGCGCGCTCGGAGGCGTCCCACGTCCCGAGCTTCGCCGCGAGAGACGCGATCGCGTCGGACGAGCCGACCGACGACGGATCGCGCTCGAACGCGAGAACGTCCTCGTCCTCCGCGGGGCGCAAGACCGCGATCTTATCCGACGCGAGCTTGTCCACCTTGTTAAGCGCGTGCTCGGCCTTCTTCTCGAGCTTCTCCAGGAACTGCATCCTCCGTCCTCGCCGCGGCCGGCGGCGCGCTCCCTGGCGTGGCGACGTGACGAGTGATTGAAATTTTTTGCTGATTTTTTGAACAGTCTGTCGCTGTCGTGTACACGTGTAACCATTCTGTCGCTCACGACTCGCCCGCCTCTAAATACCTGACCGCGAACCCCACGTGCATCGCGACGCCTCGATGTAACACCCCCTCGTCGAGCACGTACTTGCTCGAGTGCAGCGGGTGCGTCGCCCCCGCGGAGACGTTGTACGAACCCAACCACATCATGACCGACGGCCAACGTCGCGCGAAGAATGAGAAATCCTCCGCTGGCATCACCGCCGCGACGTTCCGATCGACGACAGCCTCTCCGAACATCTCGCTCGCGACGTCGCTCGCGATCGCGGCGACGCGCGCGTCGTTTATCGTCGGCGGGTACTCCACGCGCGGGAACGGCGACCCGTTCGCGATCGGGGAGAAGTTCACCGAAGCGTCGCAGCCGCGCGCCGCGGCGGCGCCGTCGGCGACTGCGAGGGCGATTCCGTGCATCAGTCGGTTGAAAGGGACCCACGCGATCAAATCTGATGTTGAAACCGAGGGACGACGGGTGACACGCGTTCTGTTTGAAAGAATAGAACGCGAACGCACCAGACTCTATCCCCGCGCGCGTCGTCGCGAACGTCGCCTCGTCCATCGCGTGGAACTGCCCTCTGAGCACCGCGACGCCGCTCCCCGCGTCCTCCCCCTCCCCCTCTCCCTCTCCGCCGCTCGACTCGAACGCGGTCACGGTCACCAGCGCGCTCGCGAGGGGGTCTGCGCGGCGCGCGACGACGGATTGCGTCTCGACGACGACGGCGGCGCCGCACGCGACGGCGTCGGCGGCGGTTCGGGCGGTCGTCGTGATCTCGAACGCCGCGCTGCCCGCCATGATCGTCCCCGGCCGCGTCCCTATCGTCCCGCTCGGGGTCTCCGGGTACGGCCACGCGTGCAGCGCGAACGCGACGCTCGTCGGCGGCGTCATCGCGAGTAAGCCGTCTCGGAGCATCTTCTTCGCGCCGCCCGCGCCCTCCTCCGCGGGTTGGAACACGAACCGGATCGTCCCGGGCGGGAGCGCGCGCTCGTCGCGCATCCTCGCGAGCGCTCGCGCCGCGCCGAGGAGCATCGCGACGTGGCCGTCGTGCCCGCACGCGTGCATCACCCCGGGCGTTTGGCTGCGGTCCGCGAGCGGGATGTCCGACTGTTCGTGCAGCGGCAGCGCGTCCATGTCCGCTCGGAGGAGGACGACCGGATCCGACCCGTCCCCGACGACGCCGACGACCCCGGGCGGGGAGACGTCCACGTGCGCGATGCCCATCGTCGTCAGCTCGCGCTTGATGATAGACGACGTCGCGCGCTCGTTCCACATCGTCTCCGGCGCGCGATGGAGCTCGCGACGGACGCGGACGACGTACGCCTCGTCCGCGAGAGACGTCTGAAGGATGTTCCGTAAATCCCGCGGCGACGGCGCGTCGTCGTCGTCGTCGTCGTCGCGAGCGACGCGCGCGTCGTCGTCGCTCGCGGCATCCCCGCGCGAGGCGACGCGCGTCGTCGCGAGTAAGAAGACGCACAGAAGCGCGCCGACGCGAGCGCGCGCCATCGCGAAGTGCGCGGGGAGCGACGAGGGAACGACCGATCGATCTCTCGACGGGGCGTTTCGTCGTTGATGTCTGTTGCGAGCACTCCGCTGGCGTCCGTCAGGTGGTCTCGGAAAAATTTATCTTGCGTTACATTTCGTTCCGTTGAGGCCCGACGCGCGTCGAGCCTCGCGTGCTGCGCTAAAAGAATCACTCCACTCGCTCCACCTCGCTACTCCGACTCGAGCTCGAGCTCACGCCAACCGCCGCCCCGCGTTGACTTCCTCGTCGAACTGGTCCGGATCCACCATCGTCCACGCCTTGGACGCGCCCCCCGCGGCGGCGGTCGTCGCCGCGCCGCTCGTCGCGTACGACACCACCCCGTCCACGCCCGGCATCGGCGCGCCGCCGAACCCGGAGTAATCCAACGCCGCCCTGGCCGCGGCGACGTTCTCGCCCTTCCCAGCTTCGGTCATGACCGCGTCCTCGCGCCACGAGAGGACGTTCCACCCGTTCGCCTCCGCCTCTCTCCGCAACTCGACGCTCGGACTCACCGCGTACGCCTTCCCGCACGCCCTCATCAACGCGGCGTCGCCGAGCCCGTCGCCGTACGCGATGCTCTTCTTCATGTTCACGCCAACCTCCTCCGCGAACCGCAGCGCGGCTCGCGCTTTCTCTTCGCCCACGACCGGCGGCCCGGTGAGTTTCCCGGTGAAGACGACGGCGCCGTCGGCGCGCGTTTCCTTCTCCAAGACGCCGCCGATGACGCGCGACGCGCCGAGCGCCTTCGCGAGCGGCTTGACTAAAAATTCCGGGCTCTCCGTGACGAGGACCACCTTGTACCCGTCGTACTTGAGCATCTTCATCGTGTTCGCCGCCTCCGGGAACACGGTCGCGTTGCAGAGCTCGTACGCGTCCGTCGCCATGGCCTCCAAGTTGGCGTCGCTCGCGTCGACGCCTTTGAACTCGTTGGCAAACGCCGCGTGGAACGACGCGTCGTCGCCGTTCCCGAACGCGCGGTAGAGCAGACATCTGAGCGCGAACAGAGGCTTCCAGATCATGGCCAGCCACCCGGGCATCGCGCGCGTCTTCGCCGCGACGAGCTGGTCGACGACCGTGGCGGAGGCGACGGTGCCGTCGAGGTCGAAAAACGCGACGCGATACTTCGCCTCCTCCTTGTCCTGAGGGTCGTTCCATACAAAGCGATGGCGGGGTGGAGTTGAAAGGCGTCAGTTGGAGTTGAAAGGCGTCGAGGGCGGGGATTGAAAGCGAAGGGTGGGCGGAGAGATGCGCCGGGAAAAGTCCTTAAAAAACGGCGTTCACCACGCGAACGGGGTCGTATGGGGACCAGTGTATAGAACGCGCCTGATCCACGCCGTACATCATGCACAAGACCTCGTCCGTGCTGTACGCGCTCATGCCTTGGCCTTCCGCGTCGCCCGTGTGCGCGCTGACCGCGGCGTGCGATTGCGATTGAGATTGCGACGCGGACGCGGACGACGACATCGGCGTCGGCGTCGGCGCGGTCGGCGTCGGCGTCGGCGTCGCCGCGGCGTCGGGAACGCTTTCCGTCGACGTCTGGATCGCCGCGACCGCGTCCGCGGGCGTCTCCGCGGGCGCGCCCACGACGTCCAGCTCGAGCGCGGGGGCTACCTCGTCCACGACGGCCGGCGCGGCGTCCTCGACGACGACCGCGGCCACGGCCGTGGCGCTCTTCGTCGTCTCCCCTAAGAACGTGCCGTCGTTAGCGAACGCGTACACGACGTCGGGATAAGCGACCGGTGGCGCGAACGGCTCGGGCTCCTCGCGCTCGAACCGCGCGTCCTCCGCGTCCATGGAGAGCGTCATCGGGTTTTCCAGCGTAGAGACGCGCGCGCGCGCGCTGCGTGCGGCCAGGCGCAGGGACGGCGTCGGGACCGCGCGTCGCGCGACGACGCGAGAGGAGGAAAATCTGCAATCGGCGGTGGCGGTGGCGCGAGAATATCTCGAAGACGCGGAGGAGACGCGTCCGCGACCGGCGCGGACGGCGGCGCCCGCGCGCGCGACCGACGTGGTGCTCATCTCTGCGACGCGTGAAGTGGTGACCGACCTTTCGCGAGGCGACCGGTACCGCGCGCGGTGGAGCGAGCGACACTCGGAGTGACGGACGTCACCGCGCCGGTTGAGAATTCATCGTGTTTGCGGGCGACGTGGCAAATCTGCGATTCTGCGCCTCTCGTGCGTCGCAGATTTTTTTCGCGTTCGCGAAAACGTAGTACGTACGCGATTTTGTATGTGTATTTAGTTAGACGACAAACCCTGCACTGCCCCAATATTTTCTGTCGTCCCGCCATCGCCATCTCCGTTGCCCGAGTCTACCGAGTTCGCCGACCGGCGTTTCGATGCTCCCCCGATGCTCTCCGTGTTGACCTTCCGCCGGAGCGCGTCTTGCAGCTTCGCGATGTGATCGTACGCGTTCTTGAGCTCCGCGTCGCGCTCCTCCGCTTCCGCGTCCATCTCCGCCTGCGTCGCGGCGTACTCTCGAACCTCCGCGCGCAGGAGCGCGAGCTCTCGCTCCTTCGCGTCCGCGTCGGACGCGACGCCGGCATCTCCGACCGTCGCGTTCGCGTCCATCGTCGCGAGGGCCGCGCGCGACGCCGACGCCGACGCCGACGCGCGCGTCTTTTTCTCCGCCTCTCTCGCGAGCGCGTCCACCTTCGCCCTGGACTCGCTCAGGAGTAACGCGACGTGGTCCTCCGCGGCGCGCAAGTGCGCGAGCGCGTTCGCCTTGGCCGCGGACGCTCGCGCCGCGGAGAAGGACGACGCGTCGCACTTCCCGCGAATCGCGCGCAGTGCATCGTGCAGCGACGCGTTCTCTTTCGTGAGGTCGTCCACGGAGAGCGCCCCGGGAGGCTTCTTCTCGATCGCGAACGGCGCGTCGTCCCGGTCCGTGAGCTCGTCGGGGGTCATGACGCGCGCGCGGCCGGAGTGACGAGAAACGCATGACCTCTTTGGTTCCCCCAGACTCTACACGTAGTGCCAAAAAAAAAAGACGGCACTCATTCATCACTCGTCGAGCCCGCGCGTCACTACGCGTACCTACGAGCACGGCCGGAGCTTGCTGTTCCCCGAACCCCACGGGTTATCGTCCTTGAACTCGTCGAACGCGCGCGTCCTCGCGAGCTCCCTCGCCTCCCGCTCGTCCTCGGTCAACTTCGCCTCCTCCTCCGCCGCCGCCTTCGCGTTCGCCGCCTGACGCGCCGTCCGTTCCATCAGCTCGCGGTACTCCATCTCCCCGGCTTCCTCCACGGTCATCGTCGGCAGGATGTGGCTCGGTCGGAACACGTCGCGCGCGATCCTATCGCGGTCGCGATCGTTGATCCCGCCCGCGCCGGGGCCGAGCCCGAGCCGCGCGCGCATCGCGGCGAGCACCTCGGGAGGGACGCTCTGCCCGCGCCCGTCGCCATCCTTCCCGCGGATCGTGTACGTCTTCAGTCCGCCGCCGCCGCCGCCGCCTCCGCGGCCTCGGATCCGCCGCTCCCCCACCTCGCCCCCCTCCTCCTCCTCCTCCTCCTCGCCGCCGCCGTCGTCCGCGTTCCTCCTAGACGCCGCGCTCGCTTCCAGCGCCTCGCGGTCGCGGAGCATCGTCAGCTCCAACTCCAGGCGAGGCTTCGCGTCCGACGCCTTGATCGTCGCGTCTTCGATCGCGAGCGTCCACCGCTCGCGCGCCTCCGCGTCGTCTTCGCCGCCATCGTCCTGACCGCACTCCGGGTCCTCGTCGTCCCACTCCGCGTTTAACAGCGCGTCCTGCCTCCGCGCGCGGCGTTTCGCGTCGAGGTCTTCCAGCCGCGCGCGAATCGCTCTCTCGCGCTTGAACCGCGCGACTTTTCGATCCCTCGCCGTCGCCGGGTCCGCCGCTGCGGACGACGCGCTCGCGCCGTCGCCGTCGCCGCGGGGGATGAACTCGTGCCGCTCGCACCAGGACAAGAACGTCGCGTGCGCGCTCGACGCCTCCGTCGCGACCGGGAGCCGCGCGGCGGGCGCGCGCGTCCGCGTTGAGCCGACCACCTCGGCGAGGTAGAAGGGCGCGAGGAGATATCTCAAGTCCGCGGTCGCGATGTCGTCCTTGGTCTCGTTCTTCGAGAAGACGCCCTCGACGTCGATCCTGTTCACGGCGTGTCGCAGCGCCGCGGCCGCAGACGCGAGCGTCTCCTGTTCGTTCGCGAGGAAGGGAAGCGGAGGGAAGGGAAGGGATCATCAGAGAAGGGAAGGGATCGATCGAGGCGACGACGGCGCGGGGACGGCACCCGCGATCTGGGGTCGACCGACGGCGCGGGCGGGGCGAGGACGAACGCGCACCTCGTCGAGCGCGCCGGACTGGAGCTTCGTGTACGCCGCGAGGCCGCGCTCGAACGCGGCCGCGAGCGGGAGGTCCTCCACGCCTTCCATGTCGCCGTGGTGTGCCGTGCCGTGCGCCACGAGATCTGGAACAAATGTCCAGATCTTCCTTCCATCCTCTCGTTCAGTTCGTTTCCGCGCCCTCGCCCGATGGGCGAGGGCGCGTCGATATACAACTGCGCCCTGTGCGACTCGTACGCGCTCGTGACGCTCGGGATCCTCCCCGAGAGAAAGCTCGCGCGCGGGCCGAACGGGCTCGCGCGATACGAAGACCTCCTCGAGGCGTTCCAGGACGCGCGCTGCGTCGCGTCGGCGTTGCTGCTCGCGTGCCCGACGTGCAACGCGCTCGCGCGCGCGACCGAGGAGGGAGCGTCGGCGAAACCCGGCGCGGACCAAGTCGAGGACGGCGACTTCCTGCGCGACGGCCTCGCGGTCCTGACCCCGTGCTTCCTCGTGAGCTTCGAGGACGGCCAGCCGCCGCCGGTGTACGTCGACGAGAACGCCGCCAAGGGGGGCATCAAACCGAGGTACAGACTCGTCCAGGGCGTCGGCCCGGCGGGACTCGAGCTCGACCGCTCGCGCACGGGGAGGCTGCACAAGCCGAGCCTGCGGCCGTTCGGGATCGACGTCCGGCCGCTATCGCTCGACGACGACGCGGCGGCGACGCGCGAGACGATGAGCGAGGCGTGTTTGTTCGCCGAGGCGTTGACGTCGTGCGCCGGCGGCGACGCGGCGGCGAGCGTCGTGCGTCGTGCGGGGTGGGTGCGAGGAGGGGACCCGCCGAGGCCGGCGCTGGAGCGGTGGGGGGAGATAAGGGAGGCGACGGAGCGGGAGATGGACGAGGACGCGCGGGAGTACGTCCGAGCGCGACGCGTCGTCGGCGGTTTAGAGTACGAAGCGCGGCGGGCGCGGGGACATCTTTAAGTACGTAGTCTAGAGTTTTACATCGCGTCTATCGTTACTGTTGGTACACCCCGACGCGGCGTCGCGTCGGTCGTCAGTCGTCCTCCTCGTCCTCGTCCACCTCCGCCGTCGGCTTCGGGGTATCGATGAACAGCATGTCGCGGTCGTTCAGCGGCGTGTCCGCGGATATCATCTCCTCGTTCACGTTCACGAGCGCCGCGCCGTCTTCGCCCTCTTCCAACGTCGCCGCCGCGGACGGGTCGAGCTCCGACATCAGCTGCGCCGCGGTGACGCCTTTCCGGACCTGCAGAAGCTCGGGGGTCATCCCCCCGCCGCCGTCTTCGTTCCTAGACCAGGTTATCACCATGACCTTTTCGTCGTTCAGCGCGACGTTCGCGGTCGGCGAAGCCTCTCCGTCGCCGGCGCGATTTTTTCCCTCCGTCGACGCCAGACGCATCTTCTCGCCGACGTCCCGCTCCAGCTGCGCGGCTTCCTCCTGGTCGAAGATCCCGTGCGGGGTCTTGCTCTTATCATTCACGCTCGGCTCGACCTGCGCTTGGACAATGCTGAACAGCGGCGAGTCCGCTTTGCCGCTTCGCCACGCGGCTTCTTCCTGCGCGCGGCGCGCGCGTCGGCGCGCCGCCGCGGCTTCCGCCGCCGCCCGCTCCGCGTTCGCCTCGAGCTCCTCCCTCGCCTGCTTCAGCGCCTGGTCCGACGTCGGCAGCGTCAGCGTCGCGTCGTCGCGCGACTTCATCTCCACCGCGACGGGGGTCGACGTCGCGTCCGAGGATACCTCGTCCTCGTCCTCCGCGCCGTCGCCGCCGTCAAAAGAGAACGTCGCGTCGCCCTCGAGGAACCCCTGCATCAGCGAGTTCAAATCTCGCGTGCGGCGCGCCGTCTGCGCGTCGTCCGTGGACGCGACGCCGATGAGGGTCTCCGCGGACGAAGAGACCGCGCTGGCGTACGCGGAGTCTCGAGATTCGAACGCGACGGGCGCCACCGCGGAAGTAGCCGTCGTTATCGCCGTCGTCGTCGTCGTCGTCGTCGTCGTCGTCGTCGTCGTCGCCGCCTCTTCCTCCGCCTCCGCCTCCGCCCACGCGCGCTCTAGCGCGCTCTTGCGCGCCTCTTCGTCCAGAAGCTCCGCGGTCGTCGCCGTCTTCCTTCCGTACGCGTCCACCTTGTGCCACCGCTGATCGGAACAAAACGCAAACTCGGTCACGGTGTACCTACTCCCTGCGAGCAACTGATTCGGCTCGACGCGTCCGCTCTCGAGCGCGCGCTTCAACAGCCTCTTGTGCAACCCCATGAATATCCACTCCGCGATGGACTGAACCGTCGCCGAACTGGGCGCGAGCGTGTCCCCTCGCGTCGGTTCGACGACGTGCACGCGCGACCCTTCGGCGTAGCAGACGACGCCGGCGCCGAGCCGCGCGCCTTGCTCGTCGCCCGCGTGCACGATTTGCACCGGCTGGCCGACGGACGCTGACGCGGGCTCAAACGTCTCCTCCCGGCGCCGGGTCGTCTCCGCCGCGGCCTGGTCGTTGACCGACGAGTCCTTGTATATCCAGTGCGCGGCGTCGCCAAACTCCGCGGCGTCGTGCATCGCGCGCGTGCGCACTTGCACCTCGAGCAGCGCGCCGTCCGGACCCGTCACCGCCGTGTGCAGCGACTGATACCCGGACGCCTTGACGTTGGTGACGTAGTCGTCGTACTCCCCGGGGACGGGGCGGTACAGCTTGTGGATCGCCTCTAGAAGCACAAAACACGCCTCGACCTCGTCCTTCGTCCCGGGCGCGGGGCCCGGCTCGCCGATGACGACGCGCAGCGCGCGCGCGTCGCACACCGCGCCGAACGGGATCTTCTTCCTCGCCATCTTCAGGTGCGTCGAATACGCGGATTTTAACCTCCCCGTGATGTCCACGCGGAGGCCCGGGGCGATCGCGTCGAGCTGGAGCGAGCGCATGCACGCGTCGCGGCAGGAAGCGAGCGCGTTGAGCGACGCCTCCATGGAAGAGGGCGAGTCGCCGTTGTTGAGCCTCCCGGACGCGTTCGTCGCCGCGGCGGCGATGGCGACGTCCGCGGCGATGAACGCGGCTTGCGCCGCCGCCGCCGATTTCGAGTTTCGGTTCGACGCGCGGAGCAGATCAAACGGAGGCACGCACGCGAGAAGCGCCCTGAGCTCCTCCTGCTCCGCGCTCATCGGCTTGGCGCGTTTCAACCTCTCCTCCTCCGCGACGGTCGCCGCGGCCGCGGCGCGGACGCGTCGCGCCATCTCCTCCTTGCTCAGCTTGACGACGCCGCCGCCTTTTTTCCTTCGCTCGACGCCGTCCTCGCCGCGTAAGATCTGCTCGACGAACATCTGCACGTCCGCGCCCGTGGGCGGCTCCCACGTCCACAGCGACTTGAATCGCTCCGCGGGGGTCGCCTCTGACCCGGGCGTCGACGCGCCGCCGCCGCTGTCGCCGCCGCCGCCGCCGCCGCCGCCGCGTTCGCGCGCGTTCCCGCCGCCGCCGCGGCGGGTCGGATCCGGCGCCGCCCACTCCTCCACCCGCGCGTTGATGATCGCTCGAAACGCGTCCGGGTCCTTCACCGCGAACGCGAGGTCCTCCATCTCCGCGTTCGCGCCCAACAGCCCGAGCGCCTCGGAGACGGGGCACCACACCTGAAGCGTCTCGTTCGCGACGAACCGCGCCTTCTCGGGTTTCACCGCGTACATCGTCCGCATGTTGTGGAGCCGGTCCGCCACCTTTATTAAAAACACGCGCGGGTCGTCCACCATGAAGAGCAGGAGCTTCTTGAGCTTCACGAGCTCCTCGGTGTCCATCCTGCCGCGGTCTTCGTCCTCCGCGAGGCCGCCGACGCCGCTCGCGTCGTCCCCGGAGCCGGAGCCGGAGCCGGAGCCGGAGCCGGACTCGGACGTCCTCCGCTGCTTCCGACGTAAAATCTGCGACACGTTTCCGAGCTTGGAGACGTCCGTCACGAGCTTCGCGACCGTGGACCCGAACTCCGCCTCGACGTCCTCGATCGCGCACTCCGTGTCGTCCACGACGTCGTGTAAGATGCACGCGACGACGGCGTCCACGTACTTCTTCTTGCCGTTCACGTCCGGAGGCAACAGCGCGGCCATTATCCTCGCGGCTTCGACGCAGTGCACGACGTAGGGCTCGCCGGAATTTCGAAACTGCCCGTGGTGCCACCGCTCCGCGAACGCGCCGGCTCGCACCACCTTCGCGTCATCGAATATCGCGTACGCGCTGACGTCGACGCCGCACAGGACGCGCGTCCTGGTCGCGGCGTCGTCGATCTCCTCGCCGAAGATCTTCTCGCGCCAGACGTTTTCCCAGAGCTGCGAGAAGAGCAAGACGCCGCCGAGGGCGACCAAGGCGGTGGACGCGAGCACGAGCGGGACGTTGAAGTGCACGCCGACGGACTCGTACTGCGCGAGCCCAGGGAACACGTGCGTGTCCGTGTGCAGCGTGAGGTGGTACGGATGTCCGGCGTCGTACGACGCGTCGACGCCGAATCGATTCGCGCCGGAGAGATCCCGCGACGCCTTCTCGACGAGGTTCTCCGTGACGCGCGACGCGGTGTGCTTCACGCCGTCGATGATGTTCCCGGCGCCGCACGTCGTCGTCGTCGTGGAGGTAGAAGAGCGCCGGGCGTGGGATGCGCGCCTTCTCGGCGCGAGCGAGGGCGCGCTCACGGGGAGGACGCCCCCCGCGCGCATCTCGCGATATTCCTGCGTCCCTTCGTTGTCCCTTCGTTTGTTCGCCAAGATTTGACGCGGGAAGATTCTTGGCGCGCGGGGCTCGACGAGCGAGCCCCGAGTTCCGTCGGTACCGCGCCCTCCCCGCTCGCGGACGCGGCCGGAGGGTGCCCTCTCTCCGCGGAGGCCCTGCCGCGTCTCCAGTCGAGTCGCGCGCGGTGGCCGTCCCCGCGCGCGGTGTTGTGCTCCCCTCCGGTTTTCAGTACCTGTAGTTGTTCTTTTTCGTCTGGTTGTCGCGCGTGATAAAAAATCATCGGTCAGTTGAAAGGGGACACGATCAAATGTTGAAACCGGACGGTGGGTGAAGAACGTAGCGAAGTTGTTTTTAGTTTGGCCTCGTCAGCGAAACCGAGAGACGACGCGCGCGTCGCGGCCACAACCATGCAGCCCACGCCCGAACCGGACCTCGGCGTCGCGCCCCGACCCGGCGCGGGCGCTTCCGCGGACTCGCGATGGGCGAAGTCGTTCGCGAACGACGTCAAAGCGCTGCGATCGGACGTGTCGTACAAGGACAGCGCGGCGTTCCTCAGGGCGCTGACGAGGAAGAGGGCGTTGTCATTTTTCGACATCCGAGACGACCCGGGGCGTTTCTTCCTCGCGCACCGGCTCCTCGCCGAGCACGCGCCGGAGCACGGCCCGGGTTTTTGGATCCGATTCACGGTGCAGTTCAACCTCTTCGCGGGGACGGTCGTCGCCCTCGGCGGCCCCGCGCAGCTCGAAGCCTTGGACGTCATTCAGAGGAAAGGGCAGCTTGGGTGTTTTTGCCTCACCGAGGTTCTCGCCGGCGTGAACAGCGGCCTCGTGGTGAACACGACCGCGACGTGGGACGCGCGGTCGAAGTGTTTCATCATAAACTCCCCCACCGAGGGCGCGGTGAAGAACTGGATATCCCAAGGCTTGACCGCGCACAAGGCGGTCGTGATCGCGGATCTCACGGTGTCCGGAAAGCGCGTCGGCCCGCACGGTTTCTTGATCGACATGACGCACAAAGGCATCGTCACCGGAGACATGGGGAAGAAGACGACGGGGGTGGACCTCGACAACGCGTGGGTGAAGTTCGATAACGTCAAGGTACCGAAACAGTCGTTATTGAACCGTTACGGGGACGTCATCGACGACGAGTACGTCCCCGCGGTGAAAGGCGTCCGGACGATGGACATGATCGGACAAAGGCTCTTCACCGGCCGCGTCGCCGTCGCGCAGGCGGCGCTGATATTCGCCGCGAAACTGTTCGCGGATACGAGACGATACAGCGACGCGAAACCGTGCACGATGCGAAACGGCGTCCGACCGGAGCTGAGCCAAGTCCCGCAGCTCGCGGCGCTGTACGACGAGGCGGACGCTCGGCTCTCAGCGACGCGAGACTTCGTGGACGCGTGCGAGGCGGAGCTGCGACGGAGTCTCGTGAAGAACGAGACGCCCGGGAGTGCGCTGACGCGCGCGATCGCGGTCGCGAAGATTCGCGCGGTGGAGACTTCGATAGAGCTGTGCCACCGGCTGAAACAGGAGGTCGGGTCGTTCGCGCTCATGGACGGCACCGGGTTTGAACACGCGGACTTTCTGCAGTGTTGCAAGTTCGCGGAGGGCGACAGCCGGATCTTGTCGCAGAAGCTCGCGAGGGACGCGTTCGCGGAGTACGCGCGCGCGAAGAAGAAGAGCGCGAACGCGACGCCGAGCGGGTGGTCGAAGAGGGAGATCGAACTGTGCGACCGCGTCGCGTTGTTCATCGACTCGGGGGGCGGCAACAGAGCGGCGGCGTGGGACGCGGCGTGGAGGGAAGTCTACGCGCTCGCGGCGGCGGTGTGCGATCGCGTGATGGACGAGTGGTGGGGGGGCGGGGCGCCGGCGCGCGCGAAGCTGTGACGACGACGCGCCGGGTGCGTGACCTTAGGTCAGATTTGACGAGTAAAAACGCGACGCGCGTGAACCGTCTCGCGATCGTCGCCGCTCCCTCCCTCACGGGGTCGCGCTCCCGCTCGCCGGCGCCTGCGTCACGAGAGCCCCGAGCAGCGCGACGACGTCATCGTGATCCTCGAGGTAATAATCCGCCCCCGACGGCTTCTGCCCGACCGTGGAACAATACACCGCGAGGTGATCGTGCCCGCGTTTCTTCTTCCCCTTTTGCGGCTCCGACCCGGGACGCGCGCACGACAGCGCCGCCTTGACCGCGCTCTCCGGGTTCCCGACCCACTGGTCCACCGCCTGGAACATCTCCTCGTCGCTTCGATCGTCGCCCACGGCGAGGATGAAGTCCACCTTCCCCGCGGCGAGGCCGCCGCGCAGGTGCGTGTCCGCCGCGGGGCCTAAGAACATCTCCACCGCGGTGGACTTTCCGATCCCCTGCGGCTTGATCTCGACGTGGCACGACCCCCAGAGGACGTCCACCGGGTCGTTCACGAGCACGGACTCGAGGTGGTCCATCAGCTCCTTCGCCTGCCACGCGCCAAAGTCTGGGTCCGCGTCGCGGTAGTCCCACACCACGCTCGTCTTCTTGTCCCTGATGTACGAGCCGTCCGTGGAGTCTTGGTATTGTTCCAAGATGGGCAGCACGATGCCGCGCCACCGCGCGATGTTCTCCTCCGTCCCCACGGTCGCGAGGCAGGCCCAGTCCGGGTTGGATCCCCACGCCGGTCCTTTGTACCAGTACCCGTGCTCCGCGAGTAAGGCCACGTTCGGGACCGCGTCGGAGAACCACTTGGCGAGCGTGCCTTTGCAGCGACCGCTGACGATGCACACCATCGCGTTCATCGGATCGTTCGCCAGCGTCTGTATCGTGTCCAAGAGTTCCGGCGACGGCGGCTGATCGTACGTCGCCGCCTGCACGAGCGTGCCGTCGTAGTCCAAAAGCAAAACGCGCCGCGTGCTCTGGGAGTACTCCAGCGAGCACTGCATGTTGTCCAACCTGCGGAACTCCGGGTCGAGCGTCACGACGCGGAAGTTCAAACCGAACCCGAGGCCGTAGCACTTCGGCGCTTTCCCGTCCAACTCCGTCGCGCGCTGCAGCTCGCTGATGTTCGACGCGGCCCAGTACCCGACCGTGTGCTCGCTGATGTACTTCCAGTGCTTCTTGTGCCTGGCTTCCGCTTCGACGCCGCTCAACGTCGCGGCTCGGTACATCGCGTCCGCGACGTCTTCGACGTTCCACGGGTTGACCCTAAACGCGCCGGACAACGAGCTCGAGCACCCGACAAACTCGGACATGATGAGGCTCGAATTTCTCGGCAACGGGAACCCGTCCGCGGTGCCGACGCTCTCGTCCCGCGGGCCTTGGCGGCACGTGATGTACTCGTACGGGAGGAGGTTCATCCCGTCTCGCGTCGCGGTGACGACGACGCAATCCGCGTGGGACATGAGCGCGATCCGCTCGTCCAGACTCGTCCCGCGGTTGATGAACTCCACGACCTTGCCGCCGAACGCGTCGCCGTCGCCTTCTGTCACGCCGTACGTCGCGTTTAAGCGCTCGACGATGGCTTCGACTTCGGATTGAAGCTCTTGCGTCTCCCGTCCCGTGCTCCGCGCCGGGTTGCACACTTGGACGAGCACCATCGTCTCCGCCATCTCCGGGTGCTGCGAGAGCAAAAGTTCGTACGCTTGCAGACGAAGGTCAATCCCTTTGAAGAGGTCCATGTCGTCGATCCCGAGGAACACCATCCGCCCGCGGAACGCCTTGCGGTAGTTGAGCCGGTGCGACACCGATTCGGGCCACATCACGCCCTCCTGCAGACGATCCGTGTTCACGCCAGTGGGGCAAATCTTCACGGAGACGCTCCGGCCGTAGTAATCGATCGCGAGCGAGCCTCGCACGGTCTTGTGGTTTAACCCGAGCAAACGCGTCGTGCACGACAGGAAGTGCCGCGCGTAGTCGAACGTGTGAAACGCGACGACGTCCGCGTTGAGCAATCCTCTCAAGACGAGGTCGCGGTTCGGGAACGTCCGGAAAATCTCCGACGACGGGAACGGGCAGTGCAGGAAGAACCCGCACCTCACGGTGTTGTACCGCTTCCGAAGGAACGTCGGCAGAAGCATGAGGTGGTAGTCGTGCACCCACACGAAGTCGCCGTCCGCGTTGAGGACCTCGACGACCTTATCCGCGAAGCGCTTATTCGCCGCGAGGTACCCTTGCCAGTTCAGCTTGTTATACCTACCCGCGCTCGTGGGCGATTGAGGTAAGATGTAGTGCATCAACGGCCACAGGAACTGCTTGCAGAAGCCTTTGTAGTATTTGTCCTTCAGCTCCGCGCCGAGGAACACCGGGACGCAGTTGAACCGCTCCGCGATGTCGCTCGCGACGGCGTCTTGTTCGAAGAGCTCCACCTCGCTTCCGAGGCCGCCCAGGAACAGAACTTTCTCCACGGACGTCCCGTTGAGTATCCCCGTGACGGTCTGGCCGTATATCGAGTCCGGGTCCATCGCGAAGTGCCAGCTGTGCCCGCGCTCGGCGGCGCCCTCGGGGTCGTGCGTCATCTTCAGCGGGAGCGAATTGCACACGATGATGACGCGCTCGGTCTTATCGACGGACGTCGCGTAGCCGCTGTAGGCTTCGTCCTGCTGCAGCGCCATCAATCGCGCGTCCGCAACCTTCGCCGCGTCGGGGTCGACGAGCTCCTGAAGGTTGTGCATCGACGTCGACGCCGCGCGCCTCATGGTTCGCGCGTTGAAATCCTCGTCGGACGCGCGGAAAACCTACCTACCGCCGACGAGGATAAAGCGCGAGCGCTGAACGCCCGCTGCGACGGGACGACGACGACGACCGCGAGAGACGCGGATCCGCGCGCGCGCGATCCGAGCGATATCGCGTCGACGCGCGCGCGCGAGCGAGCGACGACGAAACCCGGCGACGGCGGCCGTGCGGTCGCTCGCGTGAAGTGCGCGCGAGCGACCGCGCGCGCTGCTCCGCCAGCGCATCTCGCTCGCGGCCTGGCCGGCCGACCGCAGCCGCATCAGATCTTGCGCTCGGGCCGTCGGTCAGATGGGCGAAGCGCAGGCTTCAGTTTGATCGGCGGGCTCGATCGGGACGGTGGTTTCAATACCGAGCTGAGCTGGCAGACCCTTCCGGCGGAATTCGGCGGGACGGCGCGGCGGCAGGGAAACACATTCTGTTGACGTCGAACGCGGGCGATCCCTCGCCGCGCGCGCCTCGCGATCACACCACCGCGCGCACGTGCGTCGACTCGCGTTTTCACGAACGCGAAAAGACCTGCGCGCGCTCGGATCAGGGCAAACCCGCGACGCGCGCGCCTCTGAGCCTTCGGATCTCGCGGAATTCTGTTCTTCGGGCGGGTTCTCCGATCGGGCGCCTTCAGGCAGTCTAGATTAGATCTCGAGCGTCGCGCGCGCGCGAACCACGGCCCGCGCGAGCCTCGGCGCCTCGCCCGCGACGACGCCGCCCGCACGCGAGCGCTCGCCCGTTCCCGCGCCCTCCCTCGCGGTGGACACGCTCGTGGAGCAGCTCACGCCCCCGTTCGACGGCGATCGCGCGGTGACGGACGAGGCGGACGCGATGGCGACGTCCGCGGTCGACGCGACGCTCAAAACCGGAAACGTGAACGCGGGCGCGGACAGCGACGCGACGACGACCGCGGGGGGGGCGCCCTCGCCCTCGCCCGCGCGCGACGCCGCCGCGAAGGACGCGACGACCGCGGCGGCGCCGAACGCGCCGGGCGGGAACGCCGCGGAGAAGGAGCCCGCGATGACGCCGACGCAGCCGGCGTGGGGGAAGCTGGCGTCCATGGTGGAATCCATCGTCGACGCGCCCCCCCCCGGCGGCGGCCGCGGCGGGAAAGGCGGCCGCGGCGGTCGAGGCGGGAAGCACGCGAAGGCGGGACGCGGCGGGAGCGGCGCGATGCGCGTCGTCGTGCGGCATGACGCGCCGCCGGCGGCGGCGCCCGCGAAGGACGTCGACGCGAACGAAAACGCGGACGCCGAGAAGGCGGCGACCCCGACCCCGAGCGCGGACACGTCGCCGACGACGGCGACGGCGACGGCGAGCACGCTGCAGACGAAGAACCCGGTCGTGGTCGTGTCTGAGGCCGTCGCCGCGACGACGGCGAAGCCCGTGAGCCCGGTGACTCCCGAGGAGGAGCCGTCCCCCGCCGCCGCCGTCGCCGCGGCCGCCGCCCCCGCCGCCGAGGGGGAGACGGACGAGGAGATCCTCGCGCGGTGCCCGCCGCCGCCCCCCGGGTTCCTGATCGTTCGATCCGAGTCCGTCGGCGACGGGCCGTGCCCGTTCTGCGACAGTCCGATGAAAGCGAGGGGGATCAAGAAGCACCTGGCGCACTGCAAGGAGAAGCCGAAAGGGTACAAGCCGGCGTGCTGCCCGCCCGGGTTTGTTCCGATTAAAGACTCATCCACGGAAGGGAATAAGCTGCGCGAGGACGCGGCCAAGCTCGCGAACGAGGCGGCCGATGCTTTGCGAGAGAAGAGGATGGAGGAGAAGAAGGTCAAAGCCGCGGAGAAGGCGGCCGCCACGGAGGCCGCGGCGAAGGCGTCGGCGAAGAAGGCTGGCGGGGAGGAGGACAAAGATTCCTCCACCGGCGGCGCGGGCGGCATCGAGGAGGGCGACGAGCAAGGGAACGGAAAGGACGGGGACACCCCGAAGAGCAACAAGCTCATCTTCCGCGCGAAGAACGGCGCGGCGGCGAAAGCGGCGGCGGCGGCGGCGAAGCCCGCGGAGGTGTTACCCGGCACGCGTCCTCGCCGCGCGTCCGCGAAAGCCGCCGCGATGGCGGAGGAATCGAGCGAGAGCGAGAGCGAGAGCGAGAGCGGGAGCGAGCCCGCGGCGGCGAAGAACCTGACCGCGCGGCCGCGGCGGAAATCCGCGACGCTCGGCGTCGCCGCCGCCGCGAAAGCCGCGGGGCCGGCGCGCCGAGCGAGCGGCGGAAAGGCCGCGGTCATCATGCACGTGGACCTCGCTTCCAAGGGGTTCAAGTGCGGGTACCCGGACTGCGGGAAGATCTTCGGCGCGCAGAGCGGGCTGAAGCGCCACGTCACGGTCTCGCACGCGAAGGACCACGGGGACCAGCCGTTCACGGTCGTGGACGAAGCGACGGCGGCGGCGAACAAGGGCAAAGCCGGCGCCGGCGGCCGCGCGCGGCGGGCGAGCGCGGTGTCGAACGACTTCGCGGGCCTGAGCGAGGACGAGGACGACGAGCTGTTCGAAATGCGCGCGACGAACTTCACCAAGGGCGGCGGCCGAGGCCATCGCTCGGACAAAGACGCGACGGAGATCTCCACGGAGGAGGAGGACGACGACGAGACGATCGTCCGCGGGAAGCCGACGCACGGCGGCATCGCGCGATTCACCGCCGGCGTCGCGCAGGACGAGGACGGGGATGAAGATTCGGAGATGCTCGGCGTCGTCGCGGAGGCGACGTACAAGGCGCGCGCGGCGACGCGCGAGGCGGAGGCTGCGATCGCGGACGCGAAAGCCGCGGACATGGACTACGAGCAGGGCGGGCGCGCGGGGCGGAAGCGCGGCGCCGCGACGCCCCCGGCGGGCCGAGGGCGGCCGAAGCAAAAGCAGAAGGGCAACAAGGGCGCCGCGAACGCGAAGAACTCCGCCGACGCGAAGGACGCGCCTAAAGAAAAGGAAGTGTGCGAGATCTGCGGGAAGGTCTTCGCCGCGGTCCAGGGCGTCCCCTCGCATTACAAGTCGCACGTGGCCAAGGCGGAGGACGCGGAGACGAAGCAAAAAGCGGAACGCGCGCTGTACCAGTTTCAGCAACGCATCCGAGACCGCAGGGAGAAAGCGGTCGTCGCCGCGAGGAGCGGCGCGCGCGCGCGCCGCGAAGCCGAGGCCGAGGACGAGGACGAGGACGAGGACTCCCCCGGCGGCGGCGCGAACGACGCGGCGCCGCTCGTGCTGAACCCGAGCGCGCGGAACTGCTCGCACTGCGGCCAAGGCGTGCGCTTCTCCACGCAAAAGGACTTAATTTCGCACATGTGGTCTGAGCACAAGGTGGTCGCCATCTCGGACCCGTCCCTCGTCGGCGGCGGCGGGAACCGCGGCAGGGCGTCGAGGCAGGCGAGCGACGGGTGGGACTCCGGCGCGGCGGCCGCCGCGGCCGCGGCGGCGATCGCGGCGTACCCGAACGACTGGATCGGCGGCGGCGGGAAGAACAACGCGCTCGCGTTTCCCGGCGTCGACGCCGGCGGGACGATGACCATCTCCACCGGTCTGGTGCAGTCGATGATCTCCCGGATCGACGCGCTGGAGAAGACCGTCGCGTCGTTAGGGTACGGCGGCGGGAACGGCAACGCGAACGCGGGGGCGATCGTCGCCTCTGGCGGCAACGGCAACGCGGCGGCGATGCAGATGCATCCCTTCGACGCCGCCGCGGAGATCAAGCGGATCCCCGTGCGCGGCGCGAGGCCCGGGTACTCGCCGATCGTCACCTTCGGGCGCATGGTGTGGCTCACCGGCATCGTCGCGCTGCAGACGGTGGACCAGGACGTGGAGGGGCAGACGCGCCAGGCGCTCGAGCACATGACGCTGCTCTTGCACAAGGCTGGGACGGACCCGACGCACTTGTTGCGGCTGAACGTCTACCTCGCGGACATCCGATGCGCGGATCGGATGTACAAGGCGTGGAACGAGTACTTCGAGGGCCTCGGCCTGAGCGAGGGGCAGCGCCCGGTGCGGATCACGCACGAGGCGAGGTTGAAGAACGAGGGGTTCAGGGTGGAAGTGCACGCGGAGGCGGTTTTGCCCGCGAAGTGAAGCGAGCGACGGCGACGCGGCGCGGGGCGACGAGAGGAGGGAGGGGGAGAGGAGGACGCGAACGACGAGAGGAGGACGCGAACGACGCGAACGCGAGCGCGAGCGCGAACGCGAACGACGAACGAAAAAAGAAGAGAAAAAGCGCGACGACGAGGGCGCGGAGCGTCGCGGAGAGCACGAGTAAAAAAAACAATATCTTTGCAACTGACGCGAATCAATCTACTGGACTTTCTTCGTGAACACGATCACCTCCTCCTCCTCCACCTCTTCCTCGCCGTCCTCCTCGTCGTAGCTCCCCTCTTCTTCATCTTCTTCTTCTTCTTCTTCGAAGTCGTCGTCGTCCGCGCTCGCCGCCGCCGCCATCGCGGCCGCCTTCCTCGCGCGTTTCTCCTCCCTCGCGTTGCTCTCCTGCTGCTTCACCTGCTTCTCCTTCACCGGGCCGAGCACCATCACCATCCTGTTCCCCTCCATGGACGGGTTCCCCTCCAGGGTGCACAAGTCCTCGTCGGAGTTGCAATCGTCGACGAATTTCATAAACATGTCCCTCCCCATGTCGCGGAACTCGTTCTCGCGTCCGCGGAACTGGCACACGAGTTTGACGCGATCGCCGCCGTCGAGAAACTTCTTCGCCGCTTTCAGACGCACCATGTAATCGTGCGAGTCGATGTTATACCGCATCTTGAGCTCCTTCACTTCGATCCTCGTCGCCGCCGCGCGCTTCCGCGTCTCGCGTTGCTTCTTCTCCTGCTCGTACTTGTACTTGGAGTAGTTCATTATGCGGCACACCGGCGGGTTCGCCTCCGGGGAGAACATCACGAGGTCCAAGCCAGCCTCGTCCGCGATCTCTTGCGCTTCCGCGGAGGACATCACGCCGACGGGCGCTTTATCCTCGTCGATCACGCGCACCTCGGGAAGGTCGATGTCCTCGTTCCGAGGCGGGCCGGTGTCCATGTTCACGCGGAAGCCTCTTCGACCTCTGCCGCGTCCGCCGCCGCCGCGGCGTCCGCCGCCGCGGCGTCCGCGTCCGCGCGCTTGCGTGATCGTGCTTTGATCGCCGTCGCCGTAGCGGTACTTCGACGGCCGCGCGGTGACGACGCGCGGGGCGATTCCGACGTGCACGCCCGTCAGCGCGGAGCCCTTCATGAACCCGAGCGCGCCGCCGCCGGCCGCGTTCGCAGCCTCGGGCGTCGCGCGCGCGACGCGAGCGCCGCCAGAGGGCGGCGCGCGGACCGCCATCGCGGCGACGCCGGACGACAGCGCGTTCACGATCGCGGACGACATGACGTTCGACGACGTTCGAGACGACGACGCGTTTCGGAGGATTCGATTCGAGGTTTTCGCTCGACGCGGACGCGGGGCGGCGCGGACGACGCGACGATGCCCGTCGCGCGTGGACGCTGCTGACGCGCGTTCGGACGCGCTCGCGATGGACGTGAGCGAGACGGTCGCGGCTCCGCGGACGGGAACGCGCGCGCGGCGTTGTGGATCCCTCGCCCGCCGCCCTTGCCCTAACGACCCCTGGGTTATCTGTTCGCGGTGAACACGTCGACAGCGGCTATCGCTATCATCGGGTACAGGTACAGTAGCTGGTTTCATCGGCGAGGAACGATCTCTGCCGATCAAGACGCGGTCAAATTTTGGTTCTGACGCGGTCGAGCCTGGCATCGCATCGCTGCCGCAGAAAGTTTTCGCTCGACTGTTCCGGAATTTCATCGGTGTTAGCGGGTCGTCAACGCCCAAAACGGGTCGCGCGACGGCGACGCGGCCGCGCGCGGGTCAGGGTTCTTCGCGCGAGGCGTCGAAGAGGACGATGTCGGAAGCGCCGCCCGCCGCGGCCCGCCGCCGCGCGGGCGCGACGGCGTCCGCGGCGGACGACGACGACGACGACGCGACGACGACGACAAAGGCGACGATGAATCGACGACGAGGCTACGCGAGGAATCGCGTTCCGGTGATCGGAGGCAGACCGGTCAAGACGCGAACGTCCGGGATGCGCAAACTCCACGAGCCCGCGGGCGCGGGGGTCTGGGTCGCGATCTTCGGGAGTGTGCTGTTGTTCGCGGGGATACAGGCGTTCATCCGGTGGAAGTGGGCGGACGAGTTGGGTTGACGACTGCGGGAGCCGTCGAGAGGGCGGGCGCTCCGCGAGTGATGAATGAGATGTTCGGAGCGCGTCGGCGCGCCCGTCTTCTACGATACCATATCTATAAGATACTACTAGCTAGCGTCACCCCAGTCGTCGTCCTCGCCGCTCGCGTCGTCGTCCTTCCCACCTCCGCCGCTTCCGTCGCTCTCGCTCTCGTCGCCGCGAACGATGCGCGGCGTCCCCGCGGAGGATAATATCGTCGCGACTTCGTCGCCGTTTTCGTCCACGACGCGCACGTGCCTCGCGGACGCGCGCACCCGCGCCGGCACGTCGCTCTCGCACGACGCGAGCCACCGCTTGACTCTCTTCCCGTGCAGCCCCGGGGGCATCGCGATGACGCGCTTGAGCCACCCGTGGTCGCCGCGCGTGCGCATCGCGCCGCGCAAGTCCGCGGACGCGTGCGACGACAGCCCGTGCTGGTCCGTCGCGTCGGGGTACAGCGAGAGCCGGTCGCCGTCGTCGCACTCGAAGTCGATCGCGACGTGCGCGGCGGACGTCGCGACGGTCGAGGTCGAGGTCGCGGGGGAGAGGGAATACGAATCGTCGCCGGGGAGGACGCCGCTGACCGGGTCGTCCGGGTCGATCGCCTCGGGGGGATACCACTTGATCTCGTACCTGAGCGTGTCCCCTTCGCGAACGCGGTAAAAACCGTCGTCGTCGTCGTCGTCGTCGTCGTCGTCGTCGTCGTCGTCGTCGTCGTCGTCGTCGTCGTCGTCGTCGTCGTCGTCGTCGTCGTCGTCGTCGTCACTTTCGCCGCCGCCGCCGTCCCTCCACGCGAGCGTGACCCACCGATCCTGCGCGCTCGCGTCCGGCGCGTTCACCGCCGCGGCCGCGAGCTCCTCGTCCATGGGAAGCCTGAGCACGGCCTCGAGCACGGAAGGGTTATCGCACAGCTCCGTCGCGGCGGCGATGGCGGCGCGCGTCGCCGCCGTCGCGGCGTCGCCGTCGCCCATCGCCTCGCCGACGACGCGCTCGTCGATTCGCTTCGGCGCGCCGAGCAGCCCGCGCGCGCTGAGCTCGTTCGCGACCGCGGCGGCGAACGCCTTGACGCTGTTCACGAGCTCGTTCCCCTCGCGGGCGCCGCCGAACGACCCCGCGCGCGTCGAGAACCGCTCCGGTCGGAGGAACCGAGATCGAAACGCGTCTTCGATGTTTCGCTCCGCGCTCGACGGCTGCGACTGCCGCGACGACGACGGCGACGACGGCGACGCCGGCGCGCTCGCGATCGCCGCGGACGCGGCGACGTCCGCGGCGTGCACGTCCGAGATCGAGTTCGACACCGGACCGGACGAGTCGCCGACGTTGAGCGCGGCGGCGATCGCGCGGACCAGCGCCGTCGTCCGCTTTCGAACGACGACGCGAAGCGGGTTCACTCCTCCGTTGCCGTATCTGTCGTACCCTCCGAACCCGCCGCGGGTTCGGTCGCGGTCGGCGCGGTCGCCGCGGCCGTGACCCACCCTCGACCCCGCGGGCACCCCCGCGGCGTGCGCGATCGTGAACCGCAGCTCGAGCGTCTTGAGCGCGTATCGGTTCACGACGAGACGCGCGCGCGCGACGTTCCGATCGGCGCTCGCGTCGATCACGACCGCGCCCGCGATCGGTCTCGAGTACCCTCGCGGCGTCCCGGGCGTCCGCACGCCTCCGCGGCCGTCCACGCACGCGTGTTTCCTCCGGCACGGGTTCTTGCGCTCGGGAGGGGACACGTCGCGCTCGCCGTCCTCGCTCTCGCCCGTGGATTTGGACGTCCAGCGGCCTTTCGCGACGCCGTCCGCGCCGACGTCTCGCTTATCGAATTTAAACGTCCAGTCGTCCGCGTGTCCTCTGTTTGGCGGGCCGTCGCGGGTCTCCGGCGCCGCGGCGCCGGCGTTCGCGTCGCCTTCGTTCCCGTGCGCGCCCGTGGCGTCGTACACGCGCCGTTTGTCGTCGTCGCTGAGGACTTTGTACGCTTCGGAAATCTCGAGGAAACGCGCCGCCGCCGCCGCCGGGTCCGCGAGGTTTTTATCTGGGTGATACATCAGCGCGAGCTTCCGGTACGCTTGCTTCAGTCGGTGCTTCCAATCCTCCGCGTCCGCGTCCTCGCGCGTCAGGCCGAGGACGGCATACAGATCTTTCGGCTTCGCCGCCTCGCGCGCTGAGGCGACCGCGGCCGCGAGGTCGTCCAGCGCGGCGTCGACGTCCTCGTCCTCGCCGCCGCCGCCGCCGCCGCCCGCGGGGCTCGACGTCATCAACGTCGAGGACGTCGCGCGGGCTGCGCCCACGGGCTGTTCGCCCTCCTCTTTCTCCTCGCTCTCCTCCTCCTCGCTGTCGCCGCCGCGCCGCCGCCGCCGCGGTCTCGACGGTCCCTTCGCGCCGAAATCGTCCAACGCCGCCGCGGCGGCTTTCGCGTCCCCGTCCGCGGCGTCGATCATCCCTCTCAACAGACGCGCCCACCCGCGGTTGATCATCGCCCGCGCGAGCGCCTCCGCGGCGGCGCCGCCGTCGCCGCCGCCGACGTCGTTCAGCGCTTTCTCTAGCGACGGGATCGCGGCCGCGCATCGTCGGATCGCGTGCTCCGCGCGCGTCGCTCCGCCGCCGCCGCCGCTCGCGTCCGCGGCGGCGTCTTCCCGCGTGGCGAGGCTCTCCACGCGGCACAAACCCGCGTCCGTCTCCGCGGTGAACAGCCCGTCCGCGTCCTCCACCTTGAACTTCAAGAGCGCGTCGCGCGCGTCGCTCCACCGCCGCGCCGCCTCCGCGGATCGCTGCGCGTCGCGCAGCGCGAGTAACTTGAGATCGACGCGGAGATCTCGCGCGCACGCCGCCTCCCCCGGCGTCGCGCGTAAGCAGTCGCGAAGCACCCCGGCGGCCGCGCGCAGCGCGTCCGTCGTCCGCACGCACCTTCTCAGCGCGTCAGCGAGCAGCCGCAGCGCGTCCGGGGACCCGGGGTCGACCTTTAAGATCGCGGCGACGTCCATCTTCGCTTGCGAGTACAGATTCAGCTCCACGGACGCCTCCGCGCGGAGTAACAACAGGGACTTGGCGCGCCACGACCGCCTCAGCGCCCTCGTCGCGGTCCAGAACGCGAGCTCGTGCTGCTTATTCTTCGCCTGCGCCGCCGCGAGGTCGTGCGTCGCCTTTTGCGTCGAGATCGCGGAGAGGAGCGACGCCGCGGCGTTGAGCGCGCGCGTCAGGCGCTCGCGCGACAGCTGCGCGGCTTCGACGGCGGCGTTCGACGCCGAAACTGAATCCGACGCGTCCTCCTCCTCCGCCCCGCCGTCGTCGCCGTCGCCCCGCCGCCGCTCGGACGTCCACGCCAGCGCCGCGCGCGCGGCGTCCGTCGCCGCGTCCCAGTCCCCGTCCAGAAGCAGCACCTTGGCGCGGAGGAAATTCGCGCGCGCGCGCGCGCTCGCGTGCGCGCGCGCGTCGCACTCGCGAAGCAGGCTCTCGAGTCGATCGACGCATCCGCGCACGCGCAGCGCGCGCAGGTCGTCCACCGCGGCGGCGTATCGCGCCTCGCACGTCGGCGGCGGAGGATGGTCTCGCGCGCGCGGTCGCGGCGCGGGCGCGTCGATCGCGGCCGTCGGGGAGGCGAGACAGAGCAGCGCGAGGAGGAGCGCGGCGAGGACGCGGACGAGATCCACCGCGGGGCGCGTCCGCGCTCGGCACCTCGCCGTTATTCGCATTCGCGTCGTCGTCGTCGGCGTCGTCGTCGTCCTGCCCTGCGCTCGGCGGCCGCGCGCGCCGGTCCCTACGCCGTCGCGCGCGCGGATGCTATGAGGTCCGTCATCCGCGCGCGGTATGGCGTGTCGCGCGAGCCGTGTCCGATACACGCCGCGCCTCGAGAGAGTGAGCGTCGACGACGTTGTTACTCGCTCGAAAAACACGCGCGGCCCCAGCCGCGGACAACTTGGCAACCCACGAAAAGTTCTGTTGCACTTACCCCCGCACGGCGCAGCGCCCGCACGCCCGACGATGGACCCCTCCTGGCAAACAGAAGGGTGGGACCCCGACGCGAAGCCGCCGTCGCCGCCGCCGTCGATCGGCCCGCTGCTCGACCTCCTCCCCCTCGACGTCCTCACAGAAGTCCTGCGAAGACTCGACCCGAACGCTCGAAGTCTTCTTCGTCGCGCGTCTCGCGGCTGCCGCCGCCTCGTCGAGGACTCCGGGCTCCGCCGCTCGGGGCTCCGACTCCTGCGAACCTCCCCGGATGTATACGGGCTCCAGCTATGGTACTTCACGCAGTCGATCGCGCTGGTGGAGTGGGGGAGGAAGAACGGCATACCGTGGTCGCGGCGCCTATGCTTTGTCGCGGCGTGCCAGGGGAACGCGACGTCTGTGCTC